CGAGCGACTATATCTCGCTCGAGCGAAATACGATCCTGATCGATCATAAGTTGAAATGATCGATCATAATTGGAGGATATAATAGCGGTTCCTCTGTAACCGCTATCTAAAGTGTATATTAGATAGCGGTTCCAGTGGAACCGCTATCATATACAACTATATTTTAATTTATTGAGGCTCGACTAGTTTTTCGCTTGAGCGACTATATCTCGCTCGAGCGAAATATGATTCTGATCGATTAGATTTATGAAATGATCGATCATAATTAGAGGATATAATAGCGGTTCCTCTGTAACCGCTATCTAAAGTGATATATAATAGCGGTTAAGATATAACCGCTATTAGAAGTGATATATAATAGCGGTTATGTTTTAACCGCTATTAGAAGTGATATATAATAGCGGTTAAGTTTTAACCGCTATTAGAAATGCTATTATAATAGCGGTTAAGATTTAACCGCTATCATATGGAAGAGGGTAACTTGGACTTTTCTTTATCTCCAGCAGACTTTCGTCGCTTTTCTTCGCAGATTAGCGAAGAAAGCTTCTCTCCCCTCTCACGCATTTCCTCGCCTGCATTTCTTTGCAAATCTGTTCAACCAAATGTGGGTGAATCTCGTGTTTCTGTCGTCGTGAACAGTATTTCATCGCAAATCAGTTCAAACAAACACACCGTTAGGAAGGTCTATAGGGTTAGGGTTTGAAAATTATTGGCTCCAGAAACTTAAGCAATCAACTGATAGATGTGTACCTGCAAACCCTCGTCTGCCTAATCACAGCCACAAATATAAGCCATGGAATGGAACAGTATGTTCAATATATATATATATATATATATATATATATATATATATATATATATATATATATATATATATATATATATATATATCTGAAGGATTAACATTTTTTTAAATTAAAGATTTTAATTTATATTTTAATTTTTAATAAAAAAAATTTCAAGATGATTTATTTTTATATTGGATTACTTATGAGTATTTAAAAAAAAAACTAAAAATAAGAAGATTTTCATAAAAGAGAAGGTTTGAATTATATAAAAATATATAATATAACTTTAACTATTTATTTTAAATATTAAATTAATAATATTTTTTTAAAATTTTTTTCATCTCTTTATATATATATATATATATATAAAAGATATGTTCGAAAGACTAACCTAGATTTCAATTCATATTTTAATTTCTAATAACTTTTATCTCAAAAATTATTTTCTTCTAAGATAATCTCTGGTAAGGTGAAAAATGAGTAAATTTAAAGACAACTAATAATAAAAATATTTTCACAAACTAAAAATCAATTATATAAAAAAATATAATACATTTTTTTAAAAGACATTAATTTATAATTTTTGTTTTACTTATAAATTACTCAAAATTTTTATTTCTTTAAGGTAAGATTTTACCTTATTTTATATATATATATATATATATATATATATATATATATCATTCAATTAAACTTTTCTTTTATTGAAAAAAATGATAAGAAAATATAGAATTAATTAGTGGAGGTGGATCATGTGGATTGGTTTGGCAGATGATTAGATGTTAAGATGTAGTACAAATTAGCATTCATTATGGTTTTGTTTCCTCCATTACGATTTGATTTGAAAATCTGATTTGAAGTATTAAGGTCAGATAAAGTGCAGACTCATTTATATTTTATTTTTACCTCACTAAGAGTCCATATCTTATAAGGTTTTCATGATTTAGTTTCTAACTTTCAACTTTATCTAATTTTATTAAAAAACTTGTGTAAAACTATTTTACTACTTAAAAAAAAAAACTGTTCTTTTTTCCAATATGAGTGACAATTTAATGACTCCTACATGCATTTGAAAGCATAACAATCATAAAATGAGTAGTGACACAAATTACAAAGTCAAGTTATTAGACAGCATCAAGTAACGAAAGTCCAACTCCATGTCATGATGATTAACTATCAGTATATTTTATTTATTTATTTAATCCATAGAATAAGATAAACCGAATCACCTATATTGAGAGTGTTAAAAGATAACAATGAATTCTATTTCCATTACCATTTTATATATTTAACATGGGTAGACTCTTACTTTTGGACAAAATAATCCCTTTAGGGATAATAGTAAAAATTAAATTGTATACTTTCTTTTTCAATAACATTGGGAAGGTTGTGCATGGGACAAAATTGATGTGTTACATTTAATAATAATAATTATTATTATATGGCTACTTGTTTCTTTGGAATGATATTATGCAAGTTTTTGATGAGTGATTGGATATATAGCTATAATGGTGCATGCATTAGCAAGTTGACTCAAAACGTAGCCTCCATTTTGCAGCAGGATTGAAATCACATGGGACGATTGCCAAAAACTCAATAAAAAAACAGGGAATCATAGGACTATCGACATGTGGTTGTTTTTGTTGTCATTGTTTTTTAGAAAGTTAATGGTATTCGTTTTTGTCTTTCTCTTAAAACACCTAAAAATTAGTCATAAACTTGCTTCTTGGTCAAGGGATAAAGTCTGCATGGTCCCACATTCCCATAATTATTTTGCTTCAACAAGAATGCAAATAAATTGAATCTACCTCTATTTCTCTCAACCATATCTCACTTTCTCATTTCGTATTCAACAAAAATCTTTGTATTTTTTAGATGATAGAAAATATTTTTCAAAACAAATACTATTTTTTAACCATCATTAAACTTTATAATTTAAGAGGAGAGGGATGTCACACTCACACACTCATGAATGTTTCGATTAGCCTTTTCATATTTTTTTTAACAAGAATAATAAATTAAAATTTAATTATTTTTGTAATTATTTATGAAATTATAATTCTAAATATACGAAAATAATTTCAGAGAAAATATAATAACATTGCAAGAATTGGAAATTTGTGTGTAAGAAAATTTAGAATGTTCCTAAGATTGAATGGTAAAATCCTATTAAATGAAAATTGTATTGAAACCTTTGTATGAGTAATTAACCAGATTATGTAGACTAACGAATAATTAGTTTAATTAATTTAGACTTAAATTGTATATTTTTGTCTCTGCTGCATCCCATTCTAACAAACCCACTCATTTCACCAGTTTTTTTTTGTCACCATTTCTCATTCATTTTGAAATGGGTTTTCTAGGTTGTCTAAATAACCCAAAATCAAGTTCTCATCCAACGGTCAATGACTAAGGAAGTCTTAGTTCATATGGTACCCTACAATTGATCTATTTTATTCTGAGTTTTTTTTTTTTTACTTGGATTGATTCAAAATTTTTATATTGAATCATGTGTTTATAAAGGTTTGATTTCAGAGAAAATATAAAGTATATGTATGCAAAAATAATTCTAAAAATAGTCAAACATATGATGAAACTGAATTTATTTTCTAAAAATGAATTTGGAATATCCGAAAGATGAATTCAATGATGCTCATATGTATAAAAAAGATCGGGCAAGCAAATAAAGTGTAACTCTTTCACTTAAGTTACTTTTTTGAAAAGCAGCTTTTATAAAGCTTCGGCTCATAGCAAGTATGCATTAAATTTTTAGAAAAATTGTAGAATTAAGAGTGAAGCAAAAGCTCATTGTTGAAGTACAATGTAATGATGGAAAAGGGAATTAGAAATAGGAAGAAGTAGTGCCTTCTAGTTTTGATTCCTTTATCTTCTATTCTCAACTTCTTTGGTACCTTTGCTAAGATTTGTAAGGAACAACTTTTCCATGGTGTCATAATCCTTACTCCACCAAGTCAAAGCCAAATAAAGGGCATTTTTTAGCCACAATAAGTTTACTTAGGGCATCATGGTAGTAGTGGCATTAGTCTTGGCTAACTAATTTAACTCTAAAACAAATTGAATTTCATCACTAATAAAGCAAAATGTAGTATATATAAAGTTGAAGTTGCAAGGGCTCATACAAGATCCCTTGAAGCATATAATGTATGCATGAAGTATAAGTTGTAGAATAATTTAGTACATCACAATCTAACTAAACATTATTTTCTTAAAGCCACAGGACATAAACAAATGATTTGTCATGGAGTGCTTTTGACCACTTTTATGTATCTTTTATTGAAATTCAGATGTGACTTGGCTATTCATAATTCATAATATTATTGGACATACTCCTCCTCTAATGAAGAAGTAAGTGGTGTTTTCAGCAACAACAAAAAGTGGTGTTTTCAACAACAACAAAAAGTGGTGCATGTTAAGAATTCCTTTCTCTCTTTATATCTATCTATATATTTCTCTACATATAAAATATATTTAGTATATTGTTTTTGTATTTTGATGTAATGATGCATTTGGACTGCATACCCAATTCACTATTAATATTCCAAAAATCTTTCTATATTTTTTTCTTATATATTGTAGATTTAATTTAATTACCCATTCTATTATCATTTCCTAGCCATTTATTCTATAATAACTTTTACGGTTATTTCATTTTAGATATTATTTTCTTCTTATTGTTGTATTCATAATTGTATAATTTTTTATTATAATTATTAACCATTCATTATTAAAAATTATTAAAATAAATTGAAAAGTCATAAGAACCACATATATTATTCCAATAAACTCCACATTCAAAACTTTAGTTTGAGCTTGAAATGAGTTGGAAAAAAAAAACATCCTTCAATCAGCTGTTTTTTTTTTTTTTCAAAGACAAAAAGAAAAAAGATTGATGATTCAACCATTTTCTTCCCATTCTGACAAAAAAATCAAATGGGTTTGAGACTTTGTATCTTACAGCACCTTCAGTCTTCATGGTGTATCATCTCACTCGGCACAAAGTTATCAAATAATTTTATGGCACCTTCACTTAGCATGCTTGGACCAACATCTCACTCCTCACAAAGCTATCAAAGAGTGTTAGGCTTTGTGTATTCAGAAGTTCCAACATATATATGTACATATATGATATATTCTACCCTGAATTGTTCAAGGCTTTGGCCTGAAAGTTGAAACCAGAAACCAGAAACTGCTTTAGTTGCCACTGCAAAAATCAGTGGGTGGTTCCTTCTGCACATGAATTGTGATCCTTTCATCTCTTGGAGGCTGACATGGGCATGCTGTGGCTATGAATTTAGGGACAGCATCCCCTGGCATCAGCACAGGCAAACTCTTTGCATAATTCTGCTTCATCATCTGCATACCATTAAATTCAATGTTAGAAAAATTATTCTTAACTATTCAACTTTTACATAAATTTAAGAATTCAATTAGAATGCACAGCAGTATTAAGAATTTTTATATTACCGTACACATTTTTTTAAGATAGTACATGAAAATAAACTAAAAATTTAGTTATGGCGAGATTTATTAAACAAATCCTTAGAATAAAGAAGTTATACGAGTAATTCCTAAAATATTAGAAATCATGTTACACAGTCCTTTGAGTAATAAAAAACTCTTCAAACTGTTTGTATCAGTAAAATATAGCAAGGTAGAGACTAAACTGATAAATTTTCAAAATTTAAGCACTACTTATATAATTTCAGTACTTTAAGGACTGTTTAGGACAAAGGGTAACACTTTGGTGACTAAATTGATGGTTTTATGAACATTTATTATTCTTCACTCTTGATGTGTTTATATGTATGTTTATTTTTTGAGAGTTAGGAAGAAGAGTGATGATTACCACAACAGGAAAAGCTGGTTTCTGGTAGGAGGAAGCTAACTCTGATTGTATTTGAGTCTGTTCCAAAGATTGAGTGCTGATGAGACCATGAGACTGAAGCAAAGATTGAAGCTTACTCCAATGCAAGCAGCAGCAAAAGAAGCCACAGATGAAGAGTAGGCAGACAAAGAGAAGGGCTAATCCCAGAGGAAATCCAATTGACACACGGCTTGCAGCAGTGTCCTGAAGCTCCATTTCTCCACTTTAGTTCTAGTGTTGGTGTCTCTCTTCTCATGTAGAATCTGAATGAGTGAAAGACGAGGCAATGTTTATATAAGAAAATGGTGAAGCACCTTTGCTTTAGGTTAGGTAGTTGATGGTGGTGGGGTGTAGTTGCTAGTGGGAGGACTGTGGAGAGTGACACGTTTATTATTGAGCTTCATATGAGTCAGTGTAGAGTGAGTGGTGACACTTTTCCTTCTGTACGGAAAGAAAATGGTTCTACTCTACTCTTCTGTTAGTGGAAAGAGCAAGAAATGCTTTTGTTCCTGGTGTGTGCTTTCGTGCAAATTTAACTACACATGATAATAGTTTTGTGGAATTGATTTTGAATGAAGTGAGTTTAAATGAAAGTGACTAATGTTGGAAAGAAGTAGTTAACTCACTGTGCTTCAATTTTTTTTGCTTCTGATCCCGAATTTTGTTCAAGTCCTGTCCTGAAAGTTTTTGGGACCTTGCTATGAAGAATGCTATGATTTTTTAGACTGTTATGTGCATGATCATGGTCTACTTTTTCCTAAAACGTACCTTTTCACCAAATTGTGAGGGACAAAGCAAAAAGCTCTATAAGGAAAGTCTAGTCTTCAAACCACCATATACCCTACTCAACTGTTTCCTAAATTTGAATGTTAAGGTGTCTCTCACTAAGAGAAGTCACAGTTAATAAAGAAGCTTGAAGGAAAAAACATGTGAAGATGTTATGTAAATCAAACAAGATTATTTTCTGCAAAAGATACATATAGTTTGTGCAAAAAATACTCTTGTATAAATACTTTAGATGGAGACAAAATTCATAAAAAAAAATGACAATTAAGTTTGGATCACCACCCCCCTTTGAGTTGTGCAAACTTACAACCATGCATGTTATTACAAGTCACAATTGTAGATAATTAAATTACATGTACTTAATAATATGTGTTGGTTTGCATTAAGCAAGACCACAGTGTTTCTTTACTGTGGGCAAATTATGAAGCATAAAGGTCCTTTGAGTGATATTTGTGTGCAAGGTGAGGTACCTTAATGTAATGGGCAAGCTTGCCTTAATGTCGAAGATTGTAGAGTGATGGGGCCTACAAGGATCAAAGTGGACCCAAGACATTAGCAGAAATAAGTGTGCCTCGCAAATGGGCTACTCATGGTCAAAAATAGATCCAAATCCACTTCGTAAAGAAAAGCAAAAAAGTTAAATCCATGTAGGTATGTGTATGTTTGTCCGGGACATTGTTCTTTTTTATTTTACTATCTCAGTATTATACGTGAAGCTTTTTCAGCATAGTTTGTTAGTTAACATCACCTCTTTAATTATGAAATGTAAAAGCAAAGATGTTTGCACATATTCAGTTCATATTCGTGAATTTTGTGTGTGTGGGTAGAATAATAATACTCCACACTTTGACGACACATTAGCCTTGTTGAAAGGTGTTAGTTAGGGTAAATATGATTAAGACAAGAAGGTTGAGGGAGAAAAAAACAAAAGTGTGACATAACTTTTTAAGGTAGCTTTCCCAGGTGAGTCATTGGTAGAATAAATTAATGTAATTATTGTGTGTGGACTACCCTACGTGACCATGATGAGATGCGTGGCGTATTGCTGTTAAGCACGGTTGCTTATAAAGCTTATTCTCTTCATTCACCACATCGCATCATAATTTGGGAAACAAAGCTTTTCACCCACACAGTAAAAAAGGGACAACATTGTAAAAACTTGATTTGAAAATGAACTTCACTTTGTTCAATCTTTTACGTCGATTGGTGTGTTTGGATAAAAAAGGAGAACAAAGTTAAGTTACAACAAGATATTACATATTGAGATAGGTTTATTTGTTTAAACTTTATTAATGTTGATGATTTTGATTCGACTAAAACCTTGTATGTTTTCGACTGATGTTTTGCCTTTTCTACCTTTACCCTTTCTACTATTTGTAACTTGTATGTTTCATTCATTTCATGGTCAATTTGCATTGGAACAACATTTCAATGCCAATTCAGATTTTTGCATCATCCATGTCACATATTTCATATAAAAATTTGATGTAATCCTTATTTTATTCTTTTTTCTCTTACTCATTGAATGTTTGTAAGTGATAACCTATACCCTAAATCATACTTTACTAATGATTTCACCAATAAACTAACTATCAATTAAAATATATAAAAATCACATATTATATCATTCTAACTATATTTTATTATAAATATCCATGTTTGTCACAATATATTCATACTTGTTCCTTTCTTTATAAATGTGAGATATAAAACTTTCATAGAATTTCAAAGAAACATATTTTTCATCTCTTTGATTGACCAAGGAACCAAGTTCAAATAATTAAAAACCTTCACAACATTAATACAATTTATTTCAATCCAAAATTTATTCTAACTCTTACGGTAAATCATTTTCAAACATAACATAAAAACAAGTGATAGATTCTCAAGTAGGCAAAAAATCTACCTATATACTAATTAACCTCTTAGAACCGTATCAATATTAAGTTTAATCACATAAATATTAGATAATTTTCACTGTCCATTTGAAATTTTCTAAGAAAAATTATTCTTAATTTGAAAAAAATATAACTAATTTGACTTATAACTAATTATTCTCTGTATTATTTATACATCATCAACTCAAGGTAATAAGTTATTTGTATATGGTTAATACAAAAAAATGAATGAACTAATCCAATAAACTATAGAATTAATTATTTATTCCATAACTTGATGCAAATAAATAGCTTATGCACGTATTAAGAGTTTTTTATTTTATATTTTATCTAATCACAATCCATCGTATACGATCAATTCATTATTCTTATAATAACTAATTTTAAAGTATGAATAATTTTTTTTATTGATTAACAGTGTGTAAAATTTAAACTTTTAATAAAAAATAATTATTTTCAAAAATTTTATATTAATATTCTTATGCTATTAAGAATCTTGTCTTTTAAACTGGAATTTATTATATAAGAATATTAATAGACTTTTGGGTGATTATGATTAAGTTTTTTTTTTAACTTAAAAAAAGGAAAAAAAAAGACTTTGTAGTTAGAACTAACTAGAATAGTTTTATTTTAAAACAAATATTATCTACATTAATAATCGAAAACATAAAATATTAAAAAAAGTTGTATTTTGAGTGTTTCTTAATAAAGCATGAGTTTGAAGAGAAATTATGATAAAAGTTACACTATATAAGCAATAAAACGTTTTTTAAAGTTTAAACAAAGTCCATGTTTGTGGATTTTGTTCATTTTTTAACTTGTAATGTTACTTAATGTCTATCGTTAATAATTATTTTGTTATTAATCAGACTTATTGATATTAAATTTTTTACTTGTAAGACTACATCATTAGTCCTCAATTATGTGATAAATGAGATCCTTGCATAAATGTGATTCCATAGCATTAATAAAATGAAAAAAAAAATTAAACATTAATTAATAAGATGTAAACTATATTTTACAAATATAATAAAATAAAAATAAAAATAAAAATGAAATATGAAAGTTAAAAAAAATGATGAACTAATGTTGACACACTTTATAAGAACATGAAATGAATATTTGGGTGGGTCTATTGAAAGTGGCGTTAACAATTTAACATTAGGTGTAGGTCAACATCAAAATTGGAACTCTTATGTGGAAAGCAAAAATAATTTTGAACCTAACTTTATCAAAATCAAAATGCCACATGTAAAGAGTTTTATTAGCATACTTTTTGGGTTTTAGTGCATTCCATAATCAGAAAGCTCATGAACCTCGCACCACACTCACAAAAAGACCCCTATGCTTTATATTCTTTAACATATTCCATAAATAAAGTACTTTCATATTCTATTATTATAAAAAAAGTAATTCATTTTGTTATGATAATTACTGCTAATCTTTTGAGGTTAACTTTTCTTTATAAATTTATGGTGTGAATATTTTTTTTAACCATTAAATATAATTTTTAAAGTAACTATCGCAAAATTTAACAAATTTATCACATGTATTAATCTATAGATAGGTAATAGTGAAATTCATTATTATCTTAAATACATTCCCATCAACATTACAAATCAATAATAGTCTTTCAAATGAGAAATATTTAGATAATTTTTCTTTCAAAAAATGATATAACTATTTTCTTAGATTATTAGAATTTTTTTTGTTTTTATAAAAAATTTATAATAATATATAAGTTTAGACCACTCAATTTAAATAATTACTACTTTTATATTTATAGTAAAATTAAAAATAGAATAATAATAAAAAGTCTCTTAATCATAATCAAATTATATATATATATATATATATAATATAATATAATAGTCTTATTTATAAGTATGTTATTAAAATATTTTAAATAATAAATTATATTTATGTAATAATGATTATAATAAAATAATTAGATACATTAATTATATATTATTATCATAATATATATATATATATATATATATATTAATATAGAGAATATATTTTGTATGATTTTTTTTAAAAGATATGATGAAATAAAAACTAAGGTAGAATTTCTACTAATAATATATATATATATATATATATATATATATATATATATATATATATATATATATATATATATATATGTAATCTTCAAATTGAATCTTATCTCAGAGGGTCCATGATCACAATCAAGTCCTTCTGATCTCTGGAATGGATCTCGACATTTCTGGCCCAAAAGAATTGTGGGCTGTAGTAAATAATGATAATAATAATAATAATAATAATAATAATTTTTAAGTTCTTTATGTCTTTTCAACAACATATTTCTGCTTTTAAATTTGAATTTACATTCTCCTCAATTCAATGTACTTTTTTAACCTTTTTCTCCATTATTTTTAAAACCTTTACATTTACACCGTTTTTCTACATTTCATTAAGTTTTTTAAATCATTAACATTCAATGCAATTTACTCTCTTTGGATTTATGTTTCAATCATTTCAATATTAGCATTTCCAATTTATTTTATTCTCTTTCCCTCTTAATATTCATTTATATCCCTTTTAATTAAGATTTGTTCCCATAATTAATCAACGAAATTTATATATTTTAACCAAACTTGCTTATGAAAAAGTAGGAGAGTTGAATTGTGACTTTTCCTAAAACTTTTTGAAGATTTAACCTAAACCCACTCCCTTTGCAACTTAGACACTCCTACAACTCAAGATATCATTAAAAACTACACCTATGTCCCTATAAATAGGACTGTGCCTAGTTTTAATCCTTTTCAAAATGTTTTGTTACTTCTAGATCTATGATATTTTTTTAATCTTACCGTTAATTGCAATCATTGATCTTAATCCATTCAAAAATATATAATCATAATTTTTTATTTTCTATTTATAATATATTACATATATTTTGTTTCTTATAATATAAAATAAATACGTTTGATTATTATATAATATAAAATAAATTTATATAATTATCTTCTTTAAATAATATTTAATTAATAAAAAATAATGGTTATTAGGAAGTTACTGTTTATGAGATATTAAAAATTAAAAACAAATTTTGTGTAATTACCTAACAAAATAAATAAAAATTGTATTTCTTAATTGAATTATTAATATAATTATTTAAATTCAAAATATTCTTTATCATTTTAATTAATTTTGTCATTATCGACGGTAAACTAAATATAATTAATGGTAAAAAAAGTTAGAAAAAAATATCTTTTACGAGAAATGTTAAAATAAACTTTTGAACACAATCTCTTTTATTAGCGAAATTTTACCAATAATCATTCAAGTTTTTCTAAGTTCCACAACCTATTAAATGATTCTCTAGTAAGTTTATAATTTTTAATGAATTTAAATTAATAAAAAAGTGAGTGTGTCAGAAATATTATATAGCATCTTGGTAGCATTTCTAAAATTTTTAACAAACATCTGTAGAAGCTTCAATATTTAACATATTGAAAGTCTTAAACAATGATTGCGAAACACAAAAAAAAAAAAGAAAAAAAAATGTATTAGGGTTTGTTGAAACATTTATAAAAGAAAAAAAAACATGATGATATATGCTCCTTTCGGAAGAGTAAAAAATTTTCATTTCTCTTAGCTCTCCCCATCTCCAATTTATGATTCGTTAACAAGTCTCACTAATGGAGATGTCTTTTTATCAAGGAGACCTTATAAAGTGAAATCTCCTAGGTCGATTTTTTAGGGATGATTCTCTCTTTAGCTTTATAATTATTACATAGGTATTCTCGTTGAGAGTCAGTCAATTCAAGAAGGACTACTCATGAAGGGTTTTGACCAACAAAAAAGGCCGAGTAAAGTACCTCCAACTTTGGGTTAGATTTTTAGGGATGATTCCCCTCCTTAACTTTATGATTATTACACAGGTGTTCTATTTGGGAGCCAGCCAACTTGAGAATGACTATCCACAGAGGGTTCTAAGAGTGAAATATTGGGGAGTGTAGTTTTAAAGAGGTCCTCCAACCTCTTGGGCCGGCTTTTGAGGGATGATTCTCCTTCTTAGCTTTATGATTATTATATAGGTGCTCTCGTTGAGAATCAACCAACTCGAGAAGGACTACCCACGGAGGGTTTTGACCGGCAGAAAAAGCCGAGTGAAGTACCGGGGAATGCAATCATGTTTAGAGGTTCTCCAACCTCTTAGGCCGGCTTTTGAGGGATGATTTACCTTCTTAGCTTTATGATTATTATATAGGTACTCTCGTTAAGAGCCAGCCAACTCGAGAAGGGCTACCCACGGAGGATTCTAACCGGCAAAAGATCAAGTGAAGTATCAGGGAGTGTAATAACTTTTTGATAGGATAGTATTATATCAAGCCTCACATTGAGGGGTATCCTTACAAGGAAGGTCTTATAAGACGGAAGGTTCTCTAATCTATTTTGAGCTGGCTTTTAAGGGATGATTCTCCTTATTAGCTTTATAATTATTATTGACTCAATCTTAAATTTTGACACACACATATATATATATATATATATATATATATATATATATATATATATATATATATATATATATATATATATATATATATATATATATATATATCCTTTAACCACATTCATTGTCGTTATTGAACAGGTAGAATTATACTTTGACAGGGCTAGTGAGAAGATTTTCATTTCTGCATAGGCAAATTCAGCTTATAACATACTATGGTTTTTTTGTTTTGGCTACACAAATGTGCTATGAAGTTTAATACATAAAAGAGTTTTTTTTTAAAATAAAATTTAAACCAATGATTGAATCTTCATCATCATTACCTCCTGAAGTAATCTATTAGCAAAAGATGCTTCATCCAAATATTTTATGTTTGTATGTCCAGGTGATATTTTTCCCTGTACAACACAAATTGAATCGAACTGATTCATGGATTATAGTGGAAATATCTCTCTTATTGGCTTTATGTGGCATCAATGTTGAGATTGAACATTTCTACAAAGTATATTGAGGTCACTTCATTGGTCATGTATCCCAAAGATTCGCACCCAACTATATATAGTATATATAGCTAACAGCAGTTTCAATAAGAGCCATTTTGGTGAAAGCATCTAACAAAAGAATGATTGGATAAGACACTGATTTTAGCAGCAGAATACAAGGGTAATCGTGTTATATCCTGTCGATCCAGCTATTCTGTGTAGTTTATTTATCCATCTGGTTCCGTCCTGGTTGGAAGTATTCATGTTAATTTTTTAGTTCATTGCAGAACGTGAAAATGGAATAACTAAATATATGGATGGAGTGGAAATAATATGAATACCCTCAGCACTAAAGACAGATTTAGAGTAAGTACTATAACATGCATGTAGAGTATATATAATAAGTTTGGTGTTTGTTTCTGGGTATCTTGGACTTTGAATCCATTCACAAATGGATATTGGATTCTGATTATACACTAAAGTCAGACGTTTGAGTTTTTAGTGCTACTCTATATTCTGAAGTAATTATGACTCAAAATTTAGTGTGTAATTTACTACAAACTACTTGTGAGGAGGAGCATTTAAGTAAGAGTCGTGTTTTGTAAATATTAGAGAGGCTTTTTCATGGGCTGAAGGAGTCATTTTCTCTCAAATTACATGTATCCAAAAAATGCAACACGATGATAACTCTAGATTATCAACTTCGATCTTTTAACGATAATATTATTAAGTTAATTTCTGAAACTCTAGATTATTCAAAGCCACTACCATTTTTTGTGACAAATATGTGATCAATTGTTGTAGTGTTTTTCATAACAGTTCCTCTCTAGAGAATCACCAAATTACTCAAACATTGTAATTTGCTGGAATCCCGATTTGTTCTTTAAGTCCCCCACAATTTTTGGATGTAATTTTTGCTCAACTGTGCTTCTAATTCTCATTTTAATTTGCATGTTATTTTTGGTGTATTTTGCTCTAATCGTTTGTATTTAGTTTTATAATTTTTTAAAGGTTTAAATATGTTTTAAATTTCTATAAAATAACATATTTTTATTTAATTTCTATGAAATTTCCTTCTCACATTTTGGTCATTAAAAATTTAAAGCTAACGATTATAGCTCTTATAAAATGAACAATTTTTTTATTTATTTCTCTAATCCTTCTAAAATCTAAAATTATTACTTTTGGTGCCTTTAAAGTAAATCAATAACATTTATTTTAAGGATTTATAATTTTCTTTTTGGAGGTATCAAATTTTGGTATTGTACAAACGACACTGATATAAACACTTTACATTCTTTTAATCCTAAAAATAATAACGAGTCACTTATAGAAAGGATAAAAAAATTAACTTAAGAAAATTTAAGAATCTTTTTATAGAAACTAAAATTTCTAGCACTGCGATGACATTAGAGGTATAACAAAACTTGATTTATACAATTTGACAACAAAATATTTAAATAAAAATTAAGAAAGAAAAATCATTACATTATATATATATAGATAGATAGATAACTATTTTACCTAAACCTTTAATTAGAATTCCTCTTACTTCCATGTTCTATTAATAATAATAATAAATAAAAAATAACAACGAATGGTTTATTAAGTATTTATAGAAAAAATATACTAACAATGCATGTAAATTAAATTCAATAATAAATAAAGGAGTGTGTAAAAATTTAATATATATATATATATAACTGTAACTCGGTAATTATCATTGTCACATTCTTTGTTCTTTGGAAATGACATTAAACATTAAATGTCACATCATCTATGGAAGAATGTCTGTGCTCTTTTTTTTTATGCTAAAAATGTCTTTACTCTTTATACAGAGAAGTTTTACAAAAAAGAGAAACTGAAAAGGCTTTATTTTGTTACAATTAAATCATTTTTTTATTACTACCGAAAAGGCATATGTGAAAGTAATAGAGACAAAAAAAATCTGGAACTTTACTCTCTTGGTAATGTTGCAGTTTGGCTTGATCCTCCATATATGTCTATATTCTTAGACTTTAGTGCAATATATAACTCATAATTTTATTATATCTTAAACTATATAGTTATACATGAACTATTACGATTAACTAATTTAAATTTTACCATCTTTCTAAATTATATGGTTAATATAAGCTTCTCCATAGTTTGATCTCTGTAACTTTTGTGTTTTTTTTGCCATAATTGACGTTTTCTGTTAAGAATATAAGAGAACAAAACCAATCACCGTGATTAACAGGGATCTCCATTCATGTGAACATGTTACAATGTTCCTGTTGAAGAAATCAATTATTGTCATACATTAAGAAAAAAGAAATCCTCCTAGCTTGGCTTCTACGTCAATGGATGACTATCAGAAAATCAAACTCTCCCTATGTAGCTAAAGTGCACTTGCTGCGTTATTTTGCACCTCTGTTGCTTCTATTCTCACAAACATCTTCCTCCATATCCTGCACTTCTAAATAGTGCTTGCTTTATATCTTCGGAACTCAGAATTGTCTTCTGCTGCAATTTTTATTGAACAACAAAGATAAAAATAAAATGATTACTCAATTTCTCAACAAAGAAGACCATATAAACGAAAACTATACAAGCAAGGATTTTTAGACATTGCCAAAACCATAATCCTTAGGTGGGGTTTGCTGAATAGGCAAAATAGAATATTTAGCTTTTTTTCTCTTCAATTTCATCTTTTAAGTGGATCCAAAATATATGATATTTTTGTGTGGTCATTTGAGGAAATTCACATAGTAGTAATAATGAGACATGAGAATAATCTAGCTAAGAGATTGATATCATTTTTAATAAAAAATTTTAAGTGATTGGATTATGGGTCATATCTTCTTATAAGTTGTTTAACTTTTTTATTCTTATACAATGTGAGACTTAGACTCACAATTGTATTTGCTAACAATTTCCTCTTTAAACGTGAATTCCTCCAAATTATGTATCCCTCGAGCTCACGAGTAACCCTTTCATGTACCGCTGTTCACTCTAACAGGACACCCTTACTTAACCACTCTATGAGAAAGATTTTCAATACAAAGACTACTTTGTCCCACTGTCACTTAACCTTAGACTTTGATACCATTTGTTGGATCTTTCAAGAAAATTCATTGGAAAAAAATAACACTAATAAAACATGAGTTAAACTCACGTGATAATACTCTCAACTTATTAAAAATAACACTAATAAAACATGAGTTAAACTCACGTCATAATGCTCTCAACTTATAACCTAATGTTTTATGTTTTTGGGTGAAGAGAGATATTAATCCTTAAGTGGATTTTACTCATGTCTCGTTAGTTAATCCGCCTCCATCCAACAGTTTTTACTATCATGGTGTATAATTACTAATTAATTATGTTTTATTGAGAATGTAAGAATCACAAGGAATATTTGTCGAGAAAGAATATTTTTTTAAGTAAATTTCACTATCTTAAGAAACTGTTCTTTAAACTCAACTTAGGAAGGGTGGTTAATTCAAAATATACCTCTGAGCAAGAAGCTTGCACTGTGAAATCATTGAAACAGCTAATAACGCATTGTTGGATCTCGAGACCTAATGTTTCCAATGTGTTTACTGTAGACAGTAACAAGCCTGGCTTCCCTGCACAGCATATCTCCACCCTTGTATTATTGACATTTCTCCTCTCCACATCAAACTGCACCAAATCACAATTGAGATCCTTCAATGATGATTTATTTGACTTTACAAGAATCTTGGTAGGTTTGTCTTGTTTGAGATTTTACACTTAGTAATATGATTAATATTATAAATTAATGTATATAAGTACTAGGTAGTTCTCACTTTCCTAAACTAGTTTGTAAAGTTGAGTAAGAACCAAACGAATTTTGAAAATCCCAGAAAGGACACATACCTTTGGAGAATTTCTGACTACGATTTCGTTTGGATTTACATCCTTGAAAATGCTAGCCATGTTGGAATCTACTTCTATTTCTTGCTTCAAGTTGTTAATCTTTTCCAAGAGCTCTTTCATATAATCGATAGTGTCTCCAAGTATAGCTGTTCTGTCCATCTGTGTGAGAAGCATTTTCAACAAGCAAATAAGCACTTATGCTGCATATATGACACACACCAAAGTATAGTTCTATATGTAGTTTTACATTTTAGTACTTCTCATAATGATAATGACTCATTCTCACTTCATACCTTACTTATCTTTGGGACAATTGATCTTAGCATGGAGAGCCTGTCGTTTAATCTCTTCCTTCTTCTCCTCTCTGCCATTAGGTTCTTGGAAGGCTGCCCCTGAAGCTTCTTCGCTCTATTCTTTCTTTCCACACATGAATCTGTGTTGAAAACAGGCATTTCAGGAGAATGGCTTGGCTCCAATTTGCATGTGGTTTGAAGGTCCAAAGAATGAAGCTCTTCCCCAAGCAAACCCGGATCTTCATCTTCCATCATGGACAATGGATAATCTTCATGACCCACAAATGGAGGGGTGTTATGTGAAGTATCAAGGGTGTTATAAGCTGAATCTACAATTTGGGGTGCAGAAAATTCATCAAGCAAGTAACTATAGATTTCATTGAAGGTGTAGTCGTTGTTGTAACTCTGGGGGGCTTCTTGGAAAGAGAAAGAATTTGGAGGAAGAGCTTGATAGTTTTGATCTAAACAATCAAAACTATAAGAGGAAAACTGGTTTTCTTGTGAGCATGGATTGGTATCCCATGGTTCTCTTCTTAGAGCCATTGATTCCTCCAAGAAATCATGGTCATAAAGCTCCATCTTTCTCTCTCTTTTCTTTGTTGTAATGGCTAATTGTTTAGGAAATACTACCTTGAGAAAATAGAGTACCAAGTTGAAGCATATTTATAAGAGCCCACTGAAAAGCTTCTTAATGCAAATTGCTAATTATATGCATTATATAATACATATTATATGATATATTCATTTGCACCTATACCCTCAGATCCAAATGGAATCAGCTTTTCACATTACATCTCTCTCTTGATCTTCCTCCTCAAATAGAGGGGGCATTTACGTCTTTTTCACAGAAATTTGTACAACCAATTATATATATAATAGGAACTATTGGAAAGTTTGACCCTCAGATCTGTCTGAAACCAGAAGGAATGGTAGTTAACATCATAAACCCTCTCAGGTTCATGTTAAAAGTTCAACAAAAAAAACCAACCCTGCATCTCTCTATTTTCTCCCACCTTGAAGAAGATTTCAGAGATGGGTCCCATCGCCCAAATGCTTCCAAACTTAGGCTTAGCTCACAAATTCAAATTGGTTGGTGATCATTTTTTGTTCTTTTCTGCTCTACTTTTCTATCCAAAGTGTATACTTAATAATAGTTAATACAAATTTTCCATTCTACTAAAATAAACAATCACACACTATATATCTATATAACTTTCGTTTTCTATCACAAAGGGGTGAAGTATAGGCATATAGAAGCTTCATTCTCACCCCCACCTGGCAATTGTAGACATTTCTGTATGTCTATGACAATATATTTACGTACACGTATATACAATAATAGAGGAGTGAATGCAACCACGTACCATTTTTTAAACGAATTCTCCTTGGCTCATGTATTTGATTTTTAGCTACTTTACGAATGTGCAAATATCATAAGCAATTTTTTGCTTACCCTTTTGACTTATCCTGTCTTTTACTCACTACTGACTAGTTCCCTATATGGAAATTGTTTGTATGTAGGGATTCCCTATTCGTCTTTCTTACAGTTTTGGCTCTATTGCATGATCTTGATCCATATAATTATACGTTGAACGAAATTCATTATTGTTGCTGTTGTCCAAGTATGCATGTCGCATTTATAATGCATATGGTTCACGAACTAATTGTTCTACTAGTAGCTTCTATATCAGTAACCTATAAACCTAACAATTAATCTTCCGCAATACATGGCCACATGATTCGCAACTTGCAAGCAGATATTTGAAATTGCAACGTAGATTATGTGTATATGGCATACAAGAAAGTGTTCTTGTGAATAGGAATTGTTTGAGGTAATTACACGCGTATTAGCACGTTATTATGCAGTAGGAAACAGCCTGTTAAATCTGGCAAATTGGAATACCTATGAACTTAAGTTTTCTTAAACTCGTAAAAGTTTAAATTTGCTCACCAAATTTACTTATTTTTAAACTTGTTCATTCTGAGTAACAAGGTTGAGCATTCTCTTTATCATCGTGAGTAATCATAGAAATCCACCATGGTTAGGATAGGGGAGAGTGCATTTTAATAAGAGCAAGGTTTTGAAAAAGGGTATTATATATTGAAATCTTGTTAATATATGGAATTATTTCAATTTTAATAATTGATTAGACAATGAAGTTATATTTCTGCATTTTTGTCACTTAGAAAAGATCAATCCCAATGAGTGTAAAAAACAAAACAAAAAATATGAATAACAAGTAAAGTAATTGGTGATTTTAAGTGTGAAGAATCTAAGAACATGCTATTGATATGTAACAAACAAGCTAGTCTACAAAAAGAAATAGAGACACATTTTCTTAATCAGAATAGTTAAATTTTGTGATAAGGTGGTAGCTTTAGCACAGGGCTGTGATAATATATATAAATTTTGAACTGAAAAATCATTATAATAAAGGATTTGTGATTTACTCAGTCATAAATTCAAATCTTGTTGTTGTCATCATTAAAAAAAAAAATTTTTTTTAAGAATTGCATATACAGCATGATGATTTACTATTTACATTTTTCTAGTATAAGAAACTAACGATAGAGAAAGAGTGTATATAACAAAATATGTAATGTTTATTTAAATGTGTATTTTTTATTTTATCTTATCATTGTGTAGAGAAAAATAATGTAACCAAATTTTTGTGTGTATATCTATATCTCAACCCTGTCTTTTTTCAGGGTTATATGAATTTTTATAATTAAGAATACATATACGTGAAAATGGTATACTAATAAAAGAAGTACAAAAGAAAGTATATAATTTGAAGGAAAAGAGCTAATGAAAAATAGTTAAAAATTTAAATTCTATCTCTAAAAATATATCATTGCTCGTGGCCCCAGAAAGAACTAGGGATCCCTATCCCTACCTAAAAATAACAATGTTTGGATCTTTATATTGTTAAAAATCGATCATTTGTTGATAAAATGTACACGATCTAGAATGATTGATTAGTAATTGTCATGGGTTGTTTATGGACTAACGCATCATTTAACCCATCTAAAAATTTTCATATTTTTACTTCAAGAAATTTAGAAATCTATTTTATAAAATGAGCTGAGTTTTGGTATTTATTATTTTTAAAAAAATCTAAATTTTGTTATGGTTATTACCGAAATAAGTTGTAAAATTATAATTTGAATAAAACGGATAAAAATATACAGAAAGGAATGCCAACACGTTTTGGTGACGAAACTACATGATCTATATCTCTCTCTTTATTTTATTTTTCTTTTAGTAATTAGAAAAGACAATGAAATAATTTTAAACAATATTTATTAATTTTCAGTATAGATACGATCAAAATTCGATGGAAATAATTAAATATAAGAATAATGAAAGTAGGGGTTGCCCTCGATTTGTCTTTGTTTCATGGTTTCAGCTTTGTAAGTTTGAAATTTAGATGAATATATATATAATGATTTTTATTAGAAATTTAACTGTAAATTAAAATCTCATATTAAATAAAAATGAAAAAATTAAATTAAATAAATGAGAAAAACTCATAATTTATTATCAAAGTTTTGGGTTAAAAATAATTTATGTTAACTCTAGATAAATATCTAACATTTCTCTTTATAACATTTTGATTTATATTCTATGATTCAAACTAAAAAAAAAAAATCCAATCACTAACATCACCGTATTTGTCTAAAAGTTCAATAACAATTCAGTACTTAATTAGTATGATGTTCTTTGAAACAGTTAAACATGAAAAAATACAAAAATTTCCTTTAGTTAATTTTTTTTTTCAAATTGAAAGACTTTATGCGTAATGAATTCATAAACTCCACAAAGACACTCTGCATTTCTATATAGCATATCAATGATTATAAACTCATGAAATAATAAATTACTTTTATAATATGATATCATTTTACAAACTAAATAGTCTTCTTTTTATTTTTCTTTATCCTAACTTTCTACTTATTTTTACCATCATCATTGTCTTCTTTACATTATTATTCTAAGTTTAGTTTATTAAACTTTTTTTCTCTCATCGTTGCTATTAATTAGTTATTTTATTTTTGCTGTAAGTTTTTTGTATTTTTCTTTGTTTAATTTGTTTTTCCATACTCTATTCATGTATGTTTGGTATAAACAAAAATTTAGAGCCAGTGGATGTAAATTTTGTACTTTTTATGAGGTTAAGAATATTATCGTAACGAACAAAAAATAATTAAAAAAAAGGGGATTGTAGGAAACCATTACTAATATATTTTTTTTATTAATTTTCAATTTCAAGTGTTCCATTTGTAATTATTATTTCTTATCTCACATAATACTTGAACACCGATTTTCATTAAAATTAACCGAATAAATCCCTCGTAATCAATGCACAAGAAAATATTAAATAATTAAATAATATAAGAAGTAAAAAAAATTAGAAATAATACTCAAAGAGAATTTTTTTTATTAGAGTGAGATTTTTTTAATATACAAACTATTTTTTTTATCAATTTATGAAGTAGTGTGTAAGATTTATAAAGACAAAATTAGTTTCTTCAATGAATATTGTTACCGTATAATAAACAAAACTAAATAAATGAAGAAAAAAAACTAAATTATAGACATGATTTCAGCAGATATATTATTAAATTATAATTAATTACATCATAACAAAAATAGCAAAAATAAAAATAAAAGAAAACGATAGAGTGAATAAAAAAACATTTATTCCTATAGTGAAATATTATTCAATATTCCTAAAAAATTATAATGATAATATGAAATGCTACACACGTCTACACTACATCCTCCGAAACCCTAAAACAATCGGGAAAAAAATTGTGAACTACCCCGACAAGAACTGATCAATCATTCAACCATTTATTTAACTACATGCAAACTAGTTCCTCTTTCGTCCTTGTTTGAATACTATAATGTTACTACAATATTTTTAACCCTAGAAAAGAAGGATTTTAGCATTGTTAGCCAAAAATATTACAACTCAGTGTTATTATGTACACGCTGTGCACTTTGTCATTATGCAGACCCACTTCTCTCGTAGCCGTACACAGAAATTTAAAAATACACTTTGATTTGTTTCTCTTCTTTTCCATTTTTTATTATTCCAAAATGGGTTATCAATTTATTATTAGTAAATAGTAAATTATATTATTGCATTATTAGTATTATAATCGTGTTTCTTCTTGCTAGTTGTACACAACTTGGACCAATTTGAGTTGCATTTGAGTTGCTTGAGGCAAATTAGTATCTTGTCTATGCCTTTTGTCTAAAGGGGATTATCACGTTTCATTTCATGTGGTTTAAAATTAATGATCGATATTATTATGAAACAAAACAAATCAAACTTCAAAGAAAGACAAGGAACCAGAAAATTAATATGTGGCTGAAAAATGATAACCTAAAAGGTAGTTAGAGAAAACCGCGGCAGTTTCCTCGTACCACCCCGACACAAAGTGGTATTATCAAAAGCAGTTTTTGTTTCTCTCACTCATGAACGAACGAATCTTTTTTTTATTCTTTAATATTTATTCATAAATATAATACCAGCTTTGCAGCCCACAATATATTTTTTGCACTTCTCCCACAACCAAAACCACTGATCTTTCTCCATCTGCCACCTTTGTCTGTTAGTACTTTTTTTGTTTGTTAGTTAGCAATCATAAATAGCAGTTTCATTCCACATTACCTAAACTCATGATTCATTCACATTAATCTTTGTATTTCAGTTTTTAGATACTTTTAGATTTTATTAAAAATATATATTGTTTAAAATATTTTTATTTGCATGATTTTTAATTATTTTATAGAATTATCATAAAAACATTTAATCAGTTATTAAAAGTTAGTTTTTTTTGGTAATATGAACTGTTCTTCTGCGTATCTTTTGTTGCAGTAATCTCACATAATTATTTTATCAAACTAATAAAGTTTATAATTAATAAGCAAGATCAAATAATTAAGAAATATATATTGGAAGATAAATAGTTCTTATTCAATGACATGTGAAGTAACTACATATACGTGTGGGTAAAATAATGCTTGAGGGGAAACCACAAAGGTGAAAATGCAAAAGTATCAGGGGAAGTTTTGTTTCTTGATCAATGATCACGAGTCATTTCCTATGCTGAAGAAAACGAAGAAGGTGCAGCAAACACCACAGTTTTCAACCTCATCAGAAAGTCATGGTATCCCTGTCTCACTTCTCTCTTTTCATTTATTTTACCATGGTTAACTCATGCATGCCATTTTTTACAGCTTTTCTTTTACAATAGTTTAGGTAGCTTCAATAATATGATGAAACTATAACAATAATAATCTTTAATCCATTGTTGCTTCCAGAAAGTACTTACCTATATATTTACATATATTTACAGCTTTTGAAACCACTGGTAATCACTCTGACATGTAAAAACAAAACAACGGCACGTTACGATATACTAATTTTAAAACTTCGAGGGTTCTTTATTTATTTATTTATTTTTTTGCTTACATTGTTCCACACTATATTTTCCCCGTAAATCAAAGATACAGAAAATTTATATGCCCAAACAAACTTGATTTATGAATGCTTCTGAAGGTTATTAATGGTGACTCTGTGACATATGCTTAGGGTTTGAGTCGACAAATCAAGTTTGTATTAATTCTGTTTTGTCGTTATGAACTTTGAAGAGTTTGCTGATATAAGAATTTGTGCCCTGGTTTAAGAATCAACGTCAATTAATGTTGACAGAAACATTGAACCGTGCCTGTTTACTGTCATTCACCCCACTAAACAACTAACTTACAATTCAAGTGGCAACACCATATAGAAATTTATTGCCTTTTAATTTGTATAATCCAACTTGTTATGAGTTTGTGATGTACGTATATATATAATACACCTTAGATGTATATTTTCTTTAGATTATTTTTATTATATATAATAAAGAGAAAGGAGTAACACTGAATCAAGTTATTTTGTTATGTTAAATTAGTGTATACTCTGTACCATAAATAAATTAGTCTAATAACTCTTAGTATGGCTATTAAATTTATAATTTATAGTTTTTTTAATATTACTTAATGTCGTTTAATTTTACAAAACATTTGTGAGGATATATATATAAAAAAAAACTGTAGATATCTGTATACGAGGGAAAAAAAACTACCATGTATAGAACATTATCATCTAAAACCATATTCATACATATGTATGGTAAGTTTAATATTTTTTATAATGGTTATCTTAAAATTGTATAAACAGTGACTTGTGGTTGGATAATATAAAATTCATTTACATACATTCAAACAATGTTATATTCACACAGTTCATGTCATTTTATTTATAGAAACCTGTATTTCAAAACTTACTACATTTACGAATATATTCAGATTCCAGATTTGTATATAATTTTGATATATAACTTTTATTATAGATATTATTATTAAAAAAATAAATTAGATTGTGTAACATTATTATTTTTTAAATAATTTTAATAGATAATCATTATCGTGTGTGTAAAAGTTTTTAATATTTAATTATCATTTGTTTTACTCTCAAATCCCCATTTTTCCTATGACAATGGATATATATTTTGTTATTAATAAAAAAACTTAAAAATTTATTATGATTAATAAACAAAATTATGAAATACTTAGCAAAAAGTTGAATTAGTTATTCGTGATTATTAAAAATTATGTTATATTTTTACTTGTTCGTATATATTTATTTATAATTTATGGTCAAAATATGTTTTTTTTTATATACACATAATCTAACGTTATTTTATTTTAATTTCATTTGATATTTTAATTTCATTTGATATTTTAATTTAATTTCATTTGATATTTTATAAGATTAAATTAAAATGTTAACTATTTTTTTTTTAAATTTCAAGATAGAAAGTTAGCGCGATCCATCATAAGCTAATCCGCATTAGGCTAATAATTTAAAAATTAATAAAAAAATTAAATAATTTCATACCTAATTTAATATATATGTTCAGACAATTTTTTTCATAATCATTGTTAGGAGAAAAAATAAAATAAACTTTTCCATAAGTTAAAATTATAAAAAGAATATAAGAATTTATACAAATTAGTTATAAATAAGCTAATTATTTATTTATTTTTGTAGAAATATACATTTTATCTAAACCTATCATTATTTATTTATGTATCCTAATTCATTCATATATCCTAATGTTTCAGACTGATCACGGCCAATCATGATTATATTATATTTAACTTATTTCCACACCTTTAATAAGATGAAGTAATTAATTAGAATCAATATTTTAATTAACTAAAAATTTATTTAATGTGATTTAATTTCACTAATATTATTTAAAAATACCTTTTTATCAACTTATATTTTATTGGAACATAATTTCAATAATAAAAATCATTAAAAATATAATCTCAATTAAATGAAAGATACCTTAAAAATAGTTTTGTTAAATAAATATAAATAAGATAAAAATGAGTTATCAATTTACTTTTTGTTTTAAACTAACAAACATTTTAACTTTACATTCACAACGAGAGGAAGTATGAAGAAATATATCCATCAATTGGTTAAGTTTTCAAGATATATACACTTCAAATTAGGAATTGAATATGTTTTTTTTATTCAAATATACTGCAAATAGAAATATAGAATTTATTGCAGCACTGGCAACGAGATTTGTCGGAAGAAAAAAATGTACAACATTTGTTCACAAAGGGAATTGCAACTTTATACGCAAAACTTTTTGTAAAAAACGTGTTTCTCGTAAGAAGGAAAAAAAAACTATTAAGCTTAATTATTCATTTTCTATAAAATAAAACCTAATTATTAATTTTGTCGTTTTGTTTGACGTTTGATCAATCTGATAAATTCAAGTCAAATTCGCGAGGGGCACTTGAAGAAAAAAAGTGAGAAAAATCAATAAAGATTATGGACAACATTAAGGATCCAATTGTCTAGGTAAGTGAATAAAAACATATTACTAATTATTTAATCAATTTCTTTTTTATTGGACAAAATTTGAGCCATTAAACTATATAGCTTACTTGTATAAGCTCCACTAGCTAGTTTTTTTTTTTTTTTTTTTCTCAAGTTATAAATAGTTTTGAAATAAACTAACAAAACAAATCTTGAGAATCTACTTATAAACCATTTTATGCTACTTCTTCATTTGATTTTGTTCTTGTTGAAGAGAGTGTTAAATTATACATTTTGGGAATGGAAAACTAAGGTTGAAATGCATTATCTATTAAGGCAATGAAGCAAGGATCAGATTATACGAGATTTTCTCACATGTTATATCATTGCAAATCACCTTTTTATTTTTTTTATTGTAGACATTGTTTAATTGTTGTAAATTCAACTAAACGTGTAAAAAAAAATTGTAGACATTGTAAGAAAGTTAACAAAAAAAAAGTCATTTAAGTTTATTTTACCGACATAATTAATTTTTATTATCATCTATATTATACTTTTAATTAAATTTTTACAACTATAATTGAAATAAAATGTAAATTTATGCAAAGTGGAAAAGTATAATATTTGTGATAATATGGTAATTTTTTATTAGATATATGTGTAAAAAAGTTTTAGACGGAGAATACATAAATTTCTGTTTCAGTATAGCCACACAAAAAGCTTACTATCTAATTACTCATAAATTCAATTAAAACGAGAACAAAATAAATATTAAAACTTTGCTGACAAATAATTTGATTAGTAATATAATAATAAAATATATAAATAAGTATCATTTTTATCAGTTGATTTTGTAAGATTGTGAGCTGATACATGAAGAATATTTTTATAACATTTATTTTATTGGATATTCAGTGTAGAAAAGTTTTAAATTGAGAACAATGCAGAAATCTCTAGCAGTTGATACAAATTTCGGAATAAATTTCTTCAAAGTTATAATAAGCAAAAGAAATTAAAAGAAGGAAATAGAGTAAATCAATCATGTTGAAGACACGGTTCATAAGACACTGGTTTAGAATATGCTGAACATATTCGGGGAATAACTCTGCAACTGAAACAGTATTAACTACCAACGGTGACTACATAAAAGTACCAATGGTGTACCTTACGTGGAGGGTTATTAACTATTTAAAACAAATATTGATTAAAAATTTTAAAAATAAAAAACCTAGATTTTGTTCGAAAATATTTTCCTTACAAACACTAATATTTCCCATTTCACCTTTTTCCCCACACCTGTCAAACTCTTCACGCTTCCTCTGCTCGTTGCTTCTCTTCTCGCGTCGCGTGATTCTTCATCTGGTACGTCCAATGCCGACGGCGTCGTTTCCCTTCCTCTGTTCTTGATTCTATTTCTATTCATCCAATCCAACTTCGTTTCTTGCTCGCACCAGAAATTTTGTGATACTTGTTCTAGGAAATGTTCCTCCCTCGTCCCTAGTTCATCTATGTTGGATTGAGAAGCTTGTTGAAGATGTTAATGATCTGTACATCTAGAATTATTTTATTACCTACTGTTTTATTCGGATTCCAGCTTCCAAAATTTTATTATTCCTTTCCTTGAGATTCGCCTCGTAATTTTGAACTTTTACACTCATGGAGTAGAATTAGATTCGCTTTTTATGTTTATCCATTTATTCCGTAACGATCCTTGAGCATCAAATTCTCTTTAATTTTATTATTTTTACCTTATTTAGTGGGAAGAACGTTCCTACAATAGGCACCAGTAAGAAGTGTAGCTCTCACGATTCTATCCTGTAAAGCAGGGATAGAGAGGAAACTTACGTTTTGGGAAATTATTAAAAGGATTTATGATAATATTTACGAGGATTTGATCTATTTTAAAGAAGGTAATAGAATTATAATATTATATGTTTAGCCCAACTAACTTTTGTTGGTATTCTTTTACCGTTAGAGATCCGTCTTCTTCACCTAATAGCTTTAGTTTCTACAATGAGATGATATCTTATTATTCGTGACTAAGTGGTCTTCAATTTGATCTCTCTTGCTTCCAATTTTTTAAAAGGTACATTTCATCATTGATGGTCAGTATCCAGAAAGCCATCCGAGGTTGCATCGTAGATATGTAATAATATAAAACCATATATTATTCTTTAGCTGGAAAAGAACTTGTGCTTTTTAAGGCCTTTGCCGCCAATATACTGTTGTGTTAGCTGGCAACTTTCTGGAAATTTAGGTTTGCAAAGTACAACTGTTCGCTGCTGCGTATCCTAGCTTTTCGTACAAAAGCTGGCTAATCAAAACTTTTCTGTGCTTGATGTGTGCGATTGGTTTATCTGTTTAGCTAATCTATTCTTGAAGTAACACGAGGGCATTCAACTCTGTTTTTCTAATTAACGAGTAATGATAAGTATACTCCTTCTATTTATCTACACTTACTAGGTATTTCCTTTTTCCCTATATCTCTCTTCCTATTACATCACATCTAATATAATCCTATCATTTTTCTCTTCTGTTTTTTTTTTCTCATTCTAGGTGTAAATTGGTATTTTGAGTGTTCATGCAACTTTTTCGTTTATAAATCTGGCATGGTAAACCTTCTTTGGTAATTTCTTTTTGTTGTTGTTTTTTATTATGTAAATGCAGGTATGGATAATGATGCAGGTCAAGTTCTGTATCCTTTGCACTGCTGCAAGTCTGTTCACCTGGTTTGTTGGAATTTTATCCTTTTAGCAATTTTGTGTTTTTCTCAAGGTTTTAAAAATGAACAGTGAAGGTACTGGTTTATGGTTTATTCATTTACTTAATAAAGGGCTAATAACCATCAATTCATACATGTACTACATACATGCTTTATCTGTAAAAAATATTTATCAATTAAATCAAAAATTAAAAAAAGTGGTTCAAATTAGTTAGTTTTCAGTCATCAGTTTTCAACGGGTTCTTCACTTCACTCCTTCTCTTTCCAATTTATCCGAATCACTGACCTATTCTCAGAATTTCCAGTCAAAACAACTGACCCGTTCCTGTTTTTTGTTGCTTTTCCTTATCAATGCATTGTGATCTTTCAAAAAATAAGGAATAGTGCATGGAATTCAGTTTATGCAGACTAAATTCCAGTACATGCACAGATCTTATTTGTTGAGCATGTTTTATTGTGCTTCTTGAGATTATTCGTCATTTGCATTACTTTCTATAACATTATGTTTTGTACAAATTTGTATGCAGGTTAGGCATGCCCAGGGAGTTCATAATGTTGCAGCAGAGAAGAACCATGATGAATACATGTCGTACAATTATTTTGATGCACACCTAACCCCTCTCGGATGGAAACAGGTAATTGCTAGGCAGATTATTTTTGAACGTCATGATGTCGAGAATTTGTGGTTGGATTTTATGTTATGCAGAATTCCTCTCAAAGTGATCTCAATGATCTAGATGATAAATAGTTATAGTTTCGTACTTTTTGTAGAAATTGGTATGGATATTCTTTCCGGTATTCTATTATTTGATTTTTTTACCAAAGAAAAAATGAGTCCATAGCATTGTTGTTGTGTCATAGATCTATATCTACTTAGTTCTTTCCCTGGCCTATTTTTTGTTCGTTAAGCGTCATGGTGGAATGATTTTGCTTTGTGGCTGTATGACAGGTTGATAATCTGCGAAAACATGTGAAGGCATCTGGACTTTCGAAAAATATTGAACTTGTTGTGGTTTCTCCACTGTTACGGTATTACTAATATTTTATTTGGAATTTGCTAAGACATGCATCACTTTGATTCTTTTATTTCTTTTAATGTCTTGTTAAAAAATGTATATCTGAACAAGTTAGCAATACATGTGCTATGTCTGACAATGTTGTTTATTGGTAACGTCAGTTGAGAGAATGTATGTTATTATTGTTCTCTTATGCTCTTATACAAACACATTTATGAAATGTGTGAAAAGTCCTTCACAAAACAGGGGCAAGATATATGCTGCATCAGACAACTGTGGATATAACACCAGAAATTGGCTAGAATGACTGAAGATTACGATGTAGTTTCTGAAAACTTAAATATCTTATTGATTACTCTTGTTTGAATTGGTTGTTTTGTTTTCATCTGCAACCTGACTTGAAATCAATAGAACACAAATACTGGGATAATTGGGAAAACTATCGAGTATTAGTTTTTGAATTTCAACATATTGTGTCTGCTGGTCTATTATGTTGATGCATGTGTACTTCTCTACTCCTCTTACTGTAATGTCTTTCAAGTTCTTCTTTGGTTTAAATCATGATCACACTATGGCTTTTAGAAAGGAACTTCTAATTTAAATTTAACAGGTTGGAAGCAATATCAGCCATATAATTTTATGTTGTATGTGTGGATTCTTAGTTAAAATATTCAAATTGAGATAGAATTTGACCTTATTGATATGATATATTGATGGTATGTGTGAAGAAATATTTTTTAAATGTCTTTCATTTAGTGAGAAAATAGAGTCCTTCTGTGCAGGAACTATTGTAAGTTTAAATTGCTGATGATTACATTACAGGACCATGCAAACAGCAGTTGGAGTCTTTGGTGGTGAAGTATACACCGATGGGATTAGTGAACCACCTCTTATGACAGAAAATGTCGGACACAGTGATCATCCTGCAGTTTCTAGTCTGAACTGCCCTCCATTTATAGCAGTGGAGCTTTGCCGAGAGCACATAGTATGTTAATTTGTAATGATGATAAATAAATGGTACACTGCATGACAAGTATTCTCTTGCTTTGGAATTTGGATGATTGAATCAACTGATATACATACACCATTCGCTTGATTTCTCAAATTGTGTTAGGTCCTAAAATTGTCAAGATGTCACAGCATCTGCATTAATGAAATATACAGATAAACCACCTAAGTTTACTTATCTGGCTTCTCGACCATCGACCCTGTCCTCTCGAGCTTTAACGCTTCGCAAGGAAACTGATGAAATTGTGTCTGCCAGTCTCATCTTTTGTGCAGTTACTGTGTGTTCCTTAACTGAATTAATTTCAAATAGTTATGCAAGCTATTTGAGAGTTTAGCAGGCTCTAAAAGCTCACACTCGCTAATCCAAACATTGCCCAGTACTGTTTGTTCATATTTTACATACGATTATTACATCTTTAAGAAGGTCTCCTTAATTTTTAAGACGAGGATAAAAAACTTTTGAGTTACCTCCTTCATATTGTTTCAAATTTCATTAGCTATAAAAGCACATGATTTTATATAATGCTTTTTTATTTTTTAATACAGGGAGTTCATCCTTGTGATAAGAGAAGAACCGTTAGCGAATACCGGAACATGTTTCCAGCAATTGATTTTTCACTTGTAAGTGTTTCTTTTACAATCAAGTTTGTTCTGATGCACACTAATTTCCAGAAGATAATTACAATGTGGTTGGACAAGATTCATGCTTATTATGAAATCTATTTAGATTGAAAGTGAGGAAGACATTTTGTGGAAATCTGACGTCAGAGAGAAGATAGAAGAAGTTTCTGCTAGGGGCCTGAAGTTTTTGGAATGGTGAGCGTGATTAAATAATTTTACACATGTTTTTTGTCAATGACTAAGCATATTTAACAGGATCTTTAATCTCGCTGAGCAAAAAGGTAGGCATAGACAAAGAGGCGTGAGCATACTATATTAAGCTTCCTCATATTTGCATAATTGAAATTCAAAAAATAAATTAATTGTTTGGATCACTTTAAGTTTTTGCACATCTTTTTGCCTTGTTTTTGCATTGCATCTGAGACACTGGTTTTTGCAGTTTCTGTGTCTTTATAATTAGATTTTAAAGAATATGTGAGAAGGTGACTTTGCGAATGATGACAACATCACTTTTTAGATGGTTCTCACATTCTTGCCTTTTCTCTCCCAGCTTGAATATGTTTTACGTCATTATTTGTTCCAAGTGTCATCTAGCAGTTGAATGGCTACAACCAAATTTTGTTGGTTCAGGTTGTCGACACGTAAAGAGAAGGAGATAGCAGTTGTTACCCACAGCAGTTTTCTGTTTAATACCCTTCGTGCTTTTGGAAAAGATTGTCACACAGATATAAAGAGTGAAATATGCAAACCGTAAGCATTTGCCTTAACTAACGATTAGAATTATAGTCAGGTTTGATATATGCTTGGAATTGTAAATAATAAGTTATTTTTTGAAAATGTCTCCTGAGCACCAAGAACCAATCAGTTCTTAGCTGGGAGATATATAAAAAAAAAAAATCTTCATGACTTTATCTTATGTTGTTTTAATATAACAAGTCAAATCGAGTATTCATACAGAACATGTAACTTCTGATATCTTATTATATCTTCAAATATGTATCTTTTTATTCCGCATGTATCAGAACTTGATCATCAAGTTAATGTGACAATTACGTTAACCCTTTTGCTTATTCTGTTACATAACAAAATGTAAAAAAGGCAACAGATTTTGGAAGTTCAGGAACATATTATATGTAGTAATAATTCAGTATAAATAGTTTGCAAGCCCTACACGGGTTAGACTTTCATTAGACATATTGACAATTTTGTTTTACAGTTTTACTAATTGTGAGCTGCGTTCAGTGGTCATCATTGATAGAGGGTGAGCATTTTACCTTCAGAACACAACCTATTTTCAATCTAATACAGAAAATTCATTTGAGCTTTTAACCTACCTGCAGTATGATTGGATCAAGTGAATCAACTACCAACTATCCTGGCAAGATTCCTCGTGGTCCTGATGTTCCCAGTGAAGCTGCAGATTAAAAACATTCTGGGATTAGGCTGAACAAAACTGGCTCCTCTTTGTGATCATTAGTCGTCTATTGGAATTTTCATCAGTATAATATAATTAGTTCTTAATTGCTTTTACAAGCTAGGGTTCAATGTTTTTTGTTTTACCCTAACAAACTGAATCCATGAGCATTTTCAAAATTCCTTTTTCGTGGCATAAGGTAGATTGGTAACATGTAGGAGCCAATTTTTAAGATGATAAAAAGGATTTGAGTTATACCTAGTTCAGTTCAAATTCACGAATGAACAATTATAGACATTTGTATTTCCATTTTGTCCAAGTATATTCTGAACATATATACTTCCTATATTTGCCGGGGTAATGCTAGGTTGTCTCAGACTAGTTTTAAAAATGGAATAAGATTAAAATTGACTTGTTTGGGGACTGATCATATTAATTTTGACAATTCAAAAACAAAAATAAGATATGAACTGATGTAAAAAGAATAAAAAAGTAAACCTTTTTTAAGATTTTTTTATAAATTTCTATTTCTAAACCTTAAAAAAAAAAAAAAAAGCTTATTGATGGGATTTTGTGTGTATTTCTGTTGTTTTAACCTACTTTATTCAAGACATGCCCATCACTGTTGTTTTAACCTACTTTATTCAAGACATGCCCATCAATAAAGACAGTGAAACTCTGCAATGCTTTAATTTGACTTAATCATTTTCTACTAGTTAGTCCTTTATAGTAGATTTTTATATTGTAAGACATATAATATGATTAGTTTATGTTATTTTTTAATTTGTTTAACCTTCTTATATTAAAAGGTTGGTGTCTTCCTATGTTGTTCAATATTAAAACATGAGAAAATAAATGTGCATTTGATTAAATAAGTAAATTTCAGTTTGCACATGGTGAGTCTTATTATCAAACTAATAAAACCACAAACTTTAATAAATAGAAGATAGATATAAAGAAAATATATTGAAAATATTATTTTGTAAATTTATATTTAGTTATTAATTAAACTTAGATTCAACCATAATTTGATAGCTAAATAGGGTTTTGTTGGGATTTAAGATTTTTTTCATAATGGAATTTCTCTTTCATGTTATTTTATTCATGAGTATAAAAATATAATAAAATGTTAAATATTAATAATATCTTAATCTTAATTATCTAAATCAAATAATATAATATTTTTTCTTTTATTTTAAATATAATAAAAATATTTTATTATTTAATTAAATAAAAAATAATAAAACATAAATAATAAAATAATAAAACGTATATCGTTTTTTACACTACAATAAAATTTTGATCCTTTATATTAACTAAGAAAAAAAAATTAGTCTCAGACATGGTCACACTTTCACTGAAATCGTGCCCTCTTATCAACCGATTCATGTTTTTTTTAAGCAAAAACGTTCGTAATAATTAAGTAGATTCAATCATAATTAAATCTACGAATTGTAAACTAGTATTTATGATATTAAACTGTTCTTGTGATATATCAGATTTGAAAAATATGTATTGTGAAAGTTCTAACAACATTTTTTAGTAGAAGTAATTCCCAATAACTTCGTATTAAAGTTTGCAAGTTGCATAAATTACAGTTATAACGATTCATTAAAATTTCTTATATCTAATTATTACTATATATACATACATTTTATTTCTTATTAAAAATATTTATCTCTAAAAATATTCAATGTTTTGTTTTGAATTGTATCTAACAAGGACTTTGTGAAATAAAATATGTCATTCCATATTTCGATACTTGAGTTTTTTTTTTTTTCAACCACTAAATTGTATTGTTGGTAACTTGTAATTTTGAAAACTTGAAAAAGGTTATGACAAGCTATCCCTTTCAAGGTATTACTAAAGTTGTTAAGAAAGAAACTCCCGCTCCTTCTACTCTAAATCCCAATTTTTTTTAAAGGAATACCCTAAATCTTTTAAACCCTAAACACAAATCACTGACTATAACTTCTATTCTACCTTACTCAAATACAAAATGCCAAGTGTTCTATTTTGAACTTTCTGATATGAGAGTTTAAATAGTGGCTAAGAGTTGTTAGTTTTAATTATGTTTATACTGAAGATTATGGGAGCCTCAATGCGTCTTTATTATATGGGAGCATTTTGTGGAGAACAATTATGTTGTGTCAGAAAAATGTTAAACACAAAGGCCCACTTATTTGGTATAAAGTTTTTTTTCCCGTGGAATGTGAATTTCAAGGAACTCAATCCCACCTAACTTCCACTCCAATTTTAATATTCATTGCTAAAATGCTTATATTTATCAATCTTGTTCAATCATTTTTTTTACTTCCTCTCAAACTCGAATAAATTTATTTTATATTTTAAAATATTTATTCTTTCATCTTTTTGTAATTTCAAAATTTTGATTTTCGTTATATTCTTTGTTATTAAAATCTCGTGCACATTGCCACGATAAAATCATTAATATTAGAAGAAAAACGACGTATTAATAAGGACTAAATTAATAAAAAGAAGAAGGAAAAAAGTGATATAATTATATAATATAAAACATTTGCAATGACAAGAAAAAAAATTAAATATTCATATAAATAAATGCATAATAACTTATTTTATTGAATGCTATTTGCATTATTCTAGTAAAACTTTACTCTCTCTCTTTTTTATATTAGAAAACAGCATAATCACTACTAATAATATTAAATCTATGTTTTTTTTCTAGTATGTTAAATGTAACGTATTGTAAGATAACTTCAATATTGGGAATCATACCATATCATATCTAGATCACTTGATAAGAAAATGTTACTAAAGCGAATCCAGTATTATTGATACGCAAATACTCATTTAAATGTAATATTCAATGAGAATATTTAGTTTCTTTAAATGTATTATTGTTTTAATTTTTGTCAACTTTGGAAATCACCGTGAAGGAATGCCATCATATAATATATATTTTATGTCCTCAAATGCCATTTAAAGTAATTTCATCTACAAATTAACTGGCATAAGATATTTATAACTTGATTAATAATCTCAAATATTTAAATCTTTTAAATGCGTCTATGTTGTAACTTAATAGAGAAAATATAATTTTTAATCATTTTACTGTGTCTAGATATAATGAATCAATTTTCAATTAAAAAAAAAAACTTTCTATTTTTTAGTCATTAACTTGTCCACTTTATAATTAAATTCTACAATAAATAAAAATATAAGGTAGAAAAACATCATTATAGAATTTAATAAAAACATAGATTATTATTATTATACAGTTTTTTTATACAATTAGATACGATCATTAATGTTTATAATTTATTAACTTTTAAGATAATCGTTAAAATAATAATCCTATCATATACAATCCTCTAAAAACAAATATGGTATTATTCAATGATAATTTTTCGTATACAATAATCTTATTAATTATCTAAATACTATATTAAAAATATTTTTTACATATTATAATAATATTACATGTTGGTTAAATTCTAATTAAAATATGTATTTTATTTTAATTAATACTATTTTTTATTATCAATATTGTAAAAATATTTATATTTATCAATACATTTTTTTACGCGATTTATTAATGCATTTCTTAAAAAAATTACGTACCGAATAAAGACATGAATATATTAATAAAGTTATTAATGAGAGAGTTTGACTAAATGGATATTGGTTAAAAAAATATATTTAAAAACACGTCTTTGTATATTTTGATAATAAACTTTGTTCTGTTTTATTTTTTTTTAGTCAGTTTTGATTAAGATTAACCTATTAAGTATTATTATTATTATTATTTAAAAATAGAAATATAGAAAAAGAGAATAATTAGACATACCTTGTGAATGGGTATCCTACTGATCTGAAGGTGGGAAGTTGTGGGTCCCCCTACCCCACGACAGTCTCCGTCTAGGCCATAAAACCAACACTCTTCCTCGCTTCTGCTTTTCTATGGTCACGCCGTTTTCCATTACTCTCTTTCTTAACAAAACACACTCCCACACCAACCACTACCACTCTCCAAATTCAATTGCCCGTTCCCTCCCAATTCCCAATTCCCAATCCCCAAACCCTACCCCCATGGATTCCCGCGACTCCTCCCCTCGCTCCCGCGACCCCGACGCCGACGCCAACCACCACTACCACCACTCCTTCGACGACCCCCCGCCTTCCCTCCACCCCAAGGTCAAGCTCATGTGCAGCTACGGCGGCAGAATCCAGCCCCGCCCCCACGATAACCATCTCACCTACGTTGCCGGCGACACCAAGATCCTCGCCGTCGACCGCCACATCAAGCTACCCGCCCTCCTCGCCAAACTCTCTTCCCTCGCCAACGCCCCCGCCAACGCCACATTCTTCAAGTATCAGCTCCCTGGCGAGGACCTTGACGCCCTCATTTCCGTCACCAACGACGAAGACCTCCACCACATGATGTTCGAGTACGATCGCCTCTCCCGCATCTCGCCTAGACCCGCACGCCTCCGCCTCTTCCTGTTCTCGCTCCACAACAACAACAACAACATCAATTTTGCACTCACTGATTCCAAACCGGAGCGCCAGTGGTTCGTCGACGCTCTTAACTCCGTTCAGGTTCCGCTTTTGGAAGGTTCTTCGACGCCGCCAACGGCGACGCCGAATCCGGATTTTCTCTTCGGTTTGGACAAGCCGGCTACGGTGGCTCCCGATGCTCCGCCGAAGAATCCTTCGCCGGAATCTGAAGGCTTCTCAGAGGATCGTCCAGCGGTCAGAGATGCAGAAACCGAAACCGAGCGCCTGCCCGAACCTGAGATTAGGATGTTGCAGTCTGGGAACAACAATGAGCAACAGTTGCAACGGAAGATGACAACAGAGGAAGATAATAACGGTAGGGTTTACGGCGTTAACAGTGCGGAAGCTTTCGGTCAGAAGAACACGGAGAATGTGACGCCGTTAGTTGCGCAGGGGCAAATGCACGCGCAAGGTTTTCATTCTGGAACGGTGTCGTTTTTGCAGGAGAGGAATAATGCGGGATATTCGTTGGCGGTTCCTACGACCGGGAGTGAGATTTATCTCATTCAGACGCCTTCTGGAATGTTCCAAGCGGTTCGGCCAGTGACTGGACCGGTAGGCCAACCGGTTTATCTGGTTGCGGCGCCTGGTTCAGTGGGTGTGGCAGCGGAGCGTGCATATTCTGCGGGACACGGCGGCGCGCGGTGGTGACGGGTGGAGCTGAGCTGCGAGAATGTAAAGGTCGTTTGATTTGTTCGTTTTGTGGCATAGTGAGGGTTGGTTTTGGTTTTTCAATTTTGTTTTACTTGTTTTCAATATTCAATATTGGTTTGGACTTTGACATTGTTTCTTGTGCATAGATGCGTTATGGTTGAAGGGATTGAGGAATTGTTTGAGAGTGTAATTACTTTCAAATCAGTATATTGCTTTTTTGGTTTCATCAGTGATTGATTGACTAATTGTCTCCCTAATTCGTGCAGTATTCTTTCTGCGCTCCATGTCTCCGCTCATTGTTTAGTGTGCTATTTTTCTAAACTCAAAATATGACATTTTCTGTGTATAATTTTTTACTCAAGCCTTGTCTGCAGTAGAATTATAGACAAGTGAAATTATATTCTGGTTTACAGTGGAATATTTGTTGGAAGGAGGAGAGGAAAGTAAAAGGAAAGTGGGTTTCAACAGTAATTTTTTAGTTATTTTTATTCTTCTTTTTATTTTATTTTTGTTTTGTTAAATCAAACACCGTTAATTTTTAAGTCATGTTTAGTTTAGTTTGAAAGAAATGGGGGAAGGAAGTGAAAGTGAGAAAACGTGAGTTTTTTTAAGTAGAAAAAAGAAGAAAGATATTAGTGAAACTCAATAAAAAAGCAAAACAGCAAAAAAAAAAGTTTTATAACATAATTGATTATTTACATAAAATGCAAAATAGTTCTAAATTATGCATCCACTTTCAATAATGGACACGCATATTTAATTATGAAAGCTTGCTTAGAGTTTTTTATTTTAAGTTTTTCCTATTATAATAACAATAAATAGTATTATTAATAAGTAATAATATATTTTTATTTTTAAATCAAATAATATGAACAATATATTTTCAATCCATTTCTCATTATTTATTTTCTTATTTTATTTTATTTTTCTTTACCATATGATTAAAATCATCGTTAAATTTGAACACTGTATATGAATTTATGTTAATCAATATTGATTGTTTGGAATCCATGTAAACAATACGAGTTTGGGCGATTGGAATGATTTCTCGCCTGCCCTTTTTATTCTGAAGTCCTATTATTACTTTAATTGAAATGAAATGATACGGATGAGATAGAAAATATAAAATAATTTGATGAAATATTAGTTTAGAATGCGTATATGTTTGTGCGGTGCAGCGGGTAACCCCTGCTAAAAGAATTTTTTTATTTAAAATTTTGGGGACACTTTTTAGTTTTTTGGGTACATAATTGGGTATATTACAATGTAGGTGAGCTGGTCTAATGAAAAGTACACAAGAAATGGTTTTGGTGAAGCTAAAACTGATTACACCAAGGTGTCTGTCCCTTAAAAAGTCTTTCTTACCGTACGTACACAGGTCTAAACTTCCCAAAAATATTTTATTGTATAATTGTGCATTGCCGACAAGCCAGTTGCATGAAATAGTAGAAGCTTTTATAGACAAGTGGCCTGTACTGGGGATATTTCTAGAGGAAAGGGACATAACATATGCCACCTGCACCTGTATTTTTCCGCAGCTTTTCTGATTTTCTTTTTATGCATTAGTCCCATTAGCTTTCTCACTCTCATCGCTGAATTCAGGAAAATTAGAGAGAATAAATGCAGACAATATCGCAGGCAATACCAGCCACTCTTCCATGATCTGTTCACCAAACAAACAAATTTTAAAGCAGACTCAAACTACTGATGTTAGTTAGGTATGATCTGATGAGGATAAATCAAGAAATAGCGTTTTTGGCTAAAATACCTCCAGAAATCCATATGCCAAATCCATCAAAGCCACTGCTTTTCCATAAGGATATTTTTGAGAGAATTTTACTGCTGTCATAAAGCAACTTTCTTCTCCATTTCCGTAATTTCTAGTTCCATACTCCAATTTTGTACCTGGAAAAATAACCACCTGCGAAAAAATGAGTGTTAAGATTAACAACATTGAACCTGAGAGGAATGCATCTCTAGCTCAAGCCCCATATGAACTGAGTGAGATAAACTCAATATTCGTTAATAGATTTTAGAATGAATAGAAAAACAAGGTTACATTCCGAGTTCCTGTGAGATCAAAGAGCTCAAATACAAGTTTATCTTCATCACTGGACTTCTTTATCTGTAACACCCAGTTAGAGTACATCATAGACCACGCTGTTCCTTTTAACTCGGCAAGAAGATGCGTTTCACCAGATGCAGTCCTGCCAATCACTTCTTTAGTGATACTACTCTTTGTCTTGTCACTTGACTGATTCCTATATGCAAAAAAGAACATGGGAAAATGGCAAAAAAAAAAAAAAAAAAACTATATTTGTTAGTTATGATTTTTATGAGAACTTAGTGCTTGGCACTTCTTAGCAGAATGCAAGAAAAAACCCATTTTTAACTGGTTCAACACTGTTACCTACTACTAAACAACTCAGCTAATGATACTCTAAATTCAACAAACCGGTTTGACTTACCGTTTCTGGATGCTGATGATATCAGTGCCAACTTCATTCACAACATTTGTCCAACATTTAATTTGCTGGGACCTTCTCGGAAAAAGGAAGGAAAAATAACTTACTTTGAATGGAAGCATGGAAACGAAGTGCAGCTTATACGGTGCTGAAACTGGAGGAGTTAAAGACAAACCAATGCGAATGCTAATAGGCTTTGACAAATTGACTGCACATGTCAAATCTAACCACTTCTCTATTGGCAGTTTAGATGCTACATTTTGCAAATCCTCCAGATTGATTGAAGTTTTTCCCAATACTTTGGCCAGCTTTAGTCCTCTAAAGTTAAAACGTGGGCGAGAAATGAGTTCAAGAACCAACTCTCCATTACTTTCACATTGGAAAACAGCAACTTGTTTCCCTTGTGACTTTGAGGAAATGTATAATTGCTTCTTAGTATTGAAAAGCACATCTTCTTGTTTCTTGTTGAAGGACACAAGTAGCTTGCCTTTATTCCCGGATGGTAAGTTTCTCACATCAACAATCTCAAGCATCACCTGAATAAGAATCATGAACCCAAAATGTTACAACAGTTGATGCCAAAAAAACATGCGACAAGTTACACTTGTTAGGGTAAGGGATCCTCTCTAGTGAAAAAAAAAAAAAAAAACTTAAGGTGGTCAAGTGCTATGATCATTTATTATTTTAAACATCTACTTTATAGAAAAAATATATACTATTATATAAATAAAATTTATTGAGAGACTTGGATCTCACACGGCGATAAAGTAACTGTAGAGGATCCATTTCCCAGTGGCTTTTGTCTTCTCACGTAACAAAAAAAAAAATAGCAGAATAAATATAGGAGGTTACCTGCACAAGCAGTCTGTGTGGAAGCTGAATCAGATTTTGGTTTGTCTTAATGGATGGAGCTGAACAGAAGTAGTGAGCACCAACAATTTTATACTTATCAACAGTAAGAGAAGATGGGGGACTACCCCTGTACATTGCTCCTGCTTTCCAGTATCTTGAACCAAATGTCTCTTCCCACTGTGTGGTGGTTTCAGAAAAGCCGATATCCAGCTTTTGGCCCTTGGTCCTATCAGAAGCTGTGTCATCATGTTCTAATATTTTGCCCATAATTGCCACTAGATCGTTACAGTAAGACACGGGATGCAATTGGTGCGAGTGCCATATGAGGTCAATGTCATAAGTTGGAACACTGAAGCGGTTTATATGCCTCTCTCTATTCCTCTTGATCAAATGCAGAAACCCCTTGTATCTTGCCACTGCTCCTTCAAGAAAAGTATCCTCATTCCAATAAGGCCTGGAAACCTGTCATTAAAGTTGGAGACTAATGGATAAGCATAAGCTGGTATTGTTTTCAGTCATTTTATTCGTAGAGTAATTTCAGTATATACTTTACCTGAACGCAAATCACCCTTACTTTACTGAAGTGTAACTCCAAAACTAATTTACTCTACTGCATATACTTATTAATCACTTTATCAATAAAATATATGATCAACTAGTTAAGAGTTAAGATTAAAGAGCATCTACCACTGGCTTATTTGTTATAGTACATTTTGAAGGTTAGGTAGGTATTAACAAGACATGACACTCCTAATCTAAATTTTTTAATCACCTGATAGAAGAAAGTAATCTGTCTTTTAACTGCTGAAATCAGATCATAATTGGTGGTACTCTGTTTGGCTTCCATGAAATTTTCAGCAAAACCTTGCAATGAGTGATTGTTGAGACCAAGAAGTTCATACGGCTCACTTGGATACATTGAACGCCAGACTTTCTCACTTTCCTCGTTACTGGTTCCCTGAGTAGAAGATAACACATTGGAATCGCCTAATATTCTCCCATAAAGTTCCATGCAGTCAGTTTTGTAACGCACCTGACACAAATATTGAAAAGGATAATTCCATGATTACAATACTTCTCTCAGAAAACAAATTCACAAATAACGAGGAAACTTATTCGTGATTTTGGCTTCAGTCCTCAAGCTTACCGGATTAAGCCTATGACAGTGCCAAATCCATTCACAATCAAGAGGCACAACCAAAGGGTTTTCTGTCACAGGTGACTCAGCATGTTTGGCCAGTAAAGGAAGCCAACAATATTTATACCTACATTAATGAACAAAGACATGCACAAACACTAACAATTAAAACACAACCTTTTCAAGTAAATGGTGAACATACAACAGAGGAAACATGTATATTGCAGGCACCGACGCAGATCATAGGATTTCAGTTACATCCCCATGAAAAACCTGGTAAGGGCATGAAAATAGTTCCTAAATTATTGAGTACTAATTGATTTGGATAGATTAAAGTTACAAAAATTTTAAACCATTAAAATAATAAAACATCAATTATCTTAAGCTTTAGTTTTATAATTTTAGAATTAAAAAGAGTTTAATTTATAACATAATTGTTATAAATATTTTATTCTGTCAATTAATAAAAAACTACACTAGTTACAAATTTTAAAATAATTATACACGACTCAACAGATTTACCCGACAATAGAATCCATTGAGTGAATGAAAATAAATATAAAAATCTTTAATAATATACAATATTCTAAAAAAATTCTTCAAACTATTTTCAATTAACAGTTTTGTTTTTGTCCTTGTACATGATTCGTATGGTATCCCAAAACATGATTCGTACAGTATCCTAAAACTGGCAACCAAGATTAATATGTGCTCGTTAGAGATTATTTTAACACCAATCGAACCCCACGTCAATTAACAGCTAAAATATTAAGATAATTGCAGTTTAGTCATTTTAAGAATTAAATTAAATGAAAATAGTTAGATACTAAATTGATGGATACTTATAATTTCAGAAAGTAACAAGGTGGTGTAAGAGTATATATCTACATACCTGTAGATAGCTATGTGTAAAATTGGGCCATCATCATAAAGGCAGCGATTTCTATCAACCTCTGCAAGAAACAGAAGCTGTTGTTTAGCCGTAGCAACGAGGTCTTCGCTTATCACGATTTCCTGTGCTTCAGCCCACTCCAACTCTTGCTGTGTCTCCATGAAAATTGCTCAATTCTACCTTCAAACCGCAAAGCAAAAAGATCAGTAAAACTATTTATAGTTTTGAATCAACTTCGGAACAAGGAATCCTTTCCTTTTCTGTTCCTTGTCTGCCCTCAATCGTGAAGATTTGGGAATTTTCCTTCTCATTCTGAACCGGTGAGCCGGTTTCAGGGAATAAAAGTCTGTGCTGAAACTGCATAAGCTACGCGGTTACTTTGGATTAGATTTTGGGATGCAATCTGTGTATGAACTTCGTTGATTCTGGCTAAGAAAACTATTGACGTGTTTTTTTTTTTTCTGGGGTTTATGATGATGTAGTTTCTTTCTATTCTTTATTTAATTTTGTTCATTAATAAATATTTTTTTATTTATTAATTTTAATTTTTTTATGTTTTTTTCACTCCATTAATTACTAACAAACTTAAGATAAAATAATTCAGAATTAACTCGTTAATTCGTTGTAAATGTGATAGCACGCATTGACATTTTTAATCATGTTGAATTTTTAACATACTATATATATTTATTATTATGTAAAATTTATTTTAATTATTTATAATTTTAATTTCTTAAAATTACGTATCGTTAGCATGAAATATATAAATTAATGGATTGATGACAGAAGATGATCCTATTATTTTAAAAGGCAACAAACTAATAATTCAAAGAAAAAAATATATATATAATGACTCAATCCATCAACTCACTTTTCCGCGGAACGAATTAACACTATAATCCATTTTTAATAAATCAAAGGTGGGACGCTAATTCATTTTACTACTTTTAAAGAAAAATTTATTATTAATAATTAAATCGATTTCAGAAATAATAAATTAAATTAAAATTTGAACTAAATAAATAAATAATAATAAAATAATAACAAAGTTTCTTTTTTCTTTTTCAATGCAAGAAGGAACACTCTTCTTCATGGGTTGTGTTCCGGCATGCATTTCCTTGGGTTTGACATAATCGACTGGTCAACATAATCAGTTGAAAACTGAATAAAGGATAAATAGTGTACATGGTTCTCAACAGTGTAGTGTGATCTCAGTTTAGTTAATTAATATTTGTTTTTAAATAAAATATAAAGTTTATTTTAATCTAAATTGAGATTATAGTAACATATCTTTTAAGATTAAAGTGATAATAATTAATAACGTTTAAAGACTAATTTAATCATACATAAATATATTTTGTGTTTCTTATTTTAAGAGCATAATATAACAGTGTTTTAAACATTTAAATTAAAATGATAGTTTATCCTAAACGTTTGGTTTTTGAAATTAATAACTTATCAATTTAGTTCTTGAAGTATCTCTCTTTCCTAACAAAATCATGTTTATCTATCTTAAATAATCTTAAACTAATACACTTATAAATATTATATTAAAAATCATGCTATATAATTTCATTAGTTTAACAACTATTTCACAACCTAACATTTTAATGACAAAATCAATATTTAAAAAAAAATCATAAGACCTAAATTATTAATTATGTTTAATGTGAAATATAAAAATTTAAATAATAATTTAAACGGTGTGTTACTGTGTTTAGATCATAAATAAATTTAAATTAAAAGTGAGAAATAAAATAAAAAATAAAATTTCTTTTTCCATCACTTTTCCCTTACATTTTCGTTCAAATCAACGAAAAGAAAACCTTACACGTTTTTTCTTTGTATTTTTTGTTTTCCTATTTTCATGTCTTCCCACCGTAGCATTAAAGAGAGACGTAAGGATGAAGTATCATTCAATCACGCGCTTCTCATCTTTTTACGTATCATTGTTTAACACGACATGTCTTATACCAACTACAAAATCAGAAAGAAATCCACATTTATAAACAAATTAAATTATATATATAATCACAATTTCTATAAGATAATTCTAAACATATAACTAAAGAGTAAATAATAATTCAATAAATATTTTTAAGGTATGAAAAATTCAAAAAAATTAATGAAAAAACTGTTCTAAGTAAGTTATCAAGTTATTAGAAATATAATACTATCTTTAATACAAAAAAATATCTTAAGATGTATAGATTTTTTTATGATAAATCTTAACAATTTCAATTAACATGAGACTTTATTTATATTTGATTTCTGATATATTTTATCTTAAGTGGAAGTTCTTTTCTCATTGATCCTCTTCTTCAATGAGTAGCATTTTCATCTAAAATATTTTAGCAATCATTTTATAAAAAAATATTAACAATAACTATTTCATTATTTTAGATAAACCTATAAATATATTTCTTATAAAATTTTCAATATGTTTTATTACTATTTTTTTTATAAATTCCAAATTTCCTTCAAAAACTAAATCTTACTAATATTGGTATAAAACAAACATTTATTTTTCAAAAAAATATATCAGGGTATATTAAAAATTACAATAAATTTATATTTGTAATACTTTTTGATGGAAAAATATGTTTCTAATATTATTTTAAACAAAAGTTTCACTTTTAATTAGTTTCTTAAAAAAATCAATTAAGTTCTGAAAATCATTATCGATATGTTTGATTGGGGGAAAAGTAAAAAAAAAAAAAAAAACAGCTTACAAATTGAATTTAAGAGAAAGTAAAAAACAAAAAACCTCTATTTCTAAAAAGTAACTTTTATCTTTCTTTTAACACTTCAATAAGAAATATTATTAGTCAAAATTTCTAATTTATATTTTCTTTTCTTTTATCCAATCATTTCATATATGTCAAGAACATAAGAAATGAACTTATTTAATGCTTAATGCAACCAAACATGATTTCCCTAATTTGGTTGTCGTATGTACGTGAGTCACTAGATAGTAGCTGAGATCAACCAAATTAGAAAGAAAAAAAAAATGTACACATTTGCTTCTCATTAAAATTAAAGAAGTTTCCTTTCTCCGCCTTTATCCAAAGTCCAAACAAGATACAGCACCAGCAACGAAGCAAATTTTTGAAATTCCAATTTTCATCATTGTCCCCTCCCTTTCCAACAGGTTAGGCCTTGCTCTTTATGACCTGACCTCCTCTGCTACCCAATCACATTTCTTTCCTCTCTTTCATAATTCCATTCCATTCCATTCCTCACAATAGCCACAAAGATAATCATAATTCAATTAAGCATAAATTGGAGCTTGTTGATAAAATTTCATTGGTGTCTTGTCTTCACATTCTTTTGGTGGTGAGAGAGAAGGGAGAAAAACCATTATCAAAAAAGAGGAGAAAGGGCAAGATGGTGTTGAGGAAAGTGGGGAAGTATGAGATTGGAAGGACCGTTGGAGAAGGAACCTTTGCCAAGGTAAAGTTCGCTCAGAACACGGAAACTGGCGAGAGTGTTGCCATGAAGGTGCTCGACCGTAGCACCATCATCAAGCACAAAATGGTCGACCAGGTACTCTCACTTTTTTTAGCTATTAATTAATTCGATTTCTGAATTTACAAGTATCATCGGTTAATTTAGTAACTAGTATAGTCTTGAATTTACGAAAAGTGGATTTTAATTTCTCAAATTTACAATTATTGAATGTTCTGTTCTGCTGTTATGGTATGGCTAACTTGATCTTCGTTCTAGGGACTAGCAATTAGTTTGATATCTGATTTTGAAATTTATCAATCAGCTGAGTTCGTGTTTGGATTCATGTTGAATCATCCGGAATATAGTTTATAATAGTTAACTTGGTTTTAGTTAACTTTCGTGTGTTTGAATTTACGTTGAGACATCCAGAATCTGGATGAAAGATTATAACTTCTAGTTAAATATCATGTGTTTGATTTCAAGTTGAAAATTTAATTTTAGGTTGTTAGAATAAAAACAGCAAAAGCTGTTAAGCTGTTAAAAGCTGATAGTTGGGTAGTTAGCTATAAAAAGGCCAGGTCAAACCTGACCTAACAATTTTTTCATTCATTCAATTGTATTCTCTTACATTGTAAATCTCTTCTCAATAACATTCTCGGAACTTCCAATTCTTTGGGTTCCCTATTTCTATTTCTGTAGTTCTTCGAGTTATCAAATTCCTAGAATTACTTTTTGCACAACATAGGTTTAGAAATTATTTTCATTTGAAGCAATTTTAGATAGTTCCTTCGTTGGATAAAAATGTTTATACTAGGTTTCAGTACAACTTGTTTTTAGACTACAGAAAAACATGGAAACATAAATTATAACACGTCAATAACAATTTTAACTGAGAAGAATTTTACCTGATCAATTTCTTTCAAAATATGGCTTGGACGCATAAACGCTTAATTCCAAACATGCTATTTTTATGTATACGATGATAGGATCCCTTGTATCTGGGACTAAATCGCCTGATAGTTTTCAAAATCAGGATCAAATTGACTGATGAATGATGATGCAATTTGCGAAATTAAATTGATGACAAATAATACTTTTTTTCCTGCAAGTTCTTTTAATAAGCTATTAAAAATGGTTTTTATTTAAACTAAATTGGTTCAAATAAGCATTTTTTATTGTTTTCATGTTTTCTTGCTATAGCGTAGAAAAGCACAGGGCTCAAGTGTCTTCCCTCAGCAATTCTAAGTAAACTGGTGTATATGGTGATTGATTATATATGGGGTTTTAGCGTGGTTTTTAATATTTGGCTTAAATGCATTTTGGTTTCATAATTTTGTGAATGTGCAATTTTGATTCTACAGAAATTCAATTGCACATTTGGTCTTTTAATTTTCTAAAATTAATCAATTATAATACATTGCTAATATGTTTTTCAATTTCTACCAGAAAATGATAGCATAGTTACTTACCTTATTTGGTAGAATATTAATAACAATGTTTAATTATAAGCTTCAACATTATTAAAGCTTAAAATATATAATAATATACTAATTGCTTAATTTTGAAAACTTAAAAGGACTAAATAGCTATTACATTTTTCTTGAGACCAAAAGTTGATGTAAGTCTTATTAAGAGGAATTGTGAATATTGTTACTCTCTTTGATTTTGAGTGAGCCTATTTCGTTGATTGGATAAGAATTCCTGTGTGTGAGTGTGAATTTAAGACGTTTAGACCTGGGTTTCTTCCATTTTAAGATGAGAGGTTTTGTAGTACAATGGTGGCAATGAGGTTTAATCCTGTGAAGTCTTATTAACTTTCCTAGCACTTCACAAGATGCTAGAGGTTTGGTGACTATATCTGTGAATTATGATTGCTATTGTTTCTTTTATTTGTATTTGATTTTTATTTATTAATAATGCAGATCAAGAGGGAAATTTCTATTATGAAGCTAGTCAGGCATCCATATGTTGTTCGTCTGTGTGAGGCATGTCATATTTTCCTTTTCCCTTCTTATATAGTGTGTTTGGAATCACTTATTTCTGGGCCAAAAAGCTTTTAATTAAAGGATTACTAGAAGAGATTTTGGTAAAGAAACGGATGTGTTTTTTCCAAAATAACTACTCTAACTTTAAGGTCATTAAGGGTCTGTTTGTTTTAATTACTTATTTTCTAATTCATGATGAATATCAATGAAGTGTTAAATAGGGTATCAACTATCAAGTTTTAGAACTCTTTTCTTGCTAGTAATGTAAAATCAAAATTATAGAAATTTCCGTTCCTAAATAGCTTGGAGGGAGGAACAATATTGGAAAATCATTTCAAAATTTGTCGTGGTTTTCTAATACATTTTTCCCCTGAAATGTTATTGAAGAAGATGCACAATGTCTAAATGTTTGCTGTGATAAGTCTTTTAATGTTTCTCTCTTGTTGGTTGTGACCACTTAATATTCATAACTCATTCTTCTTTGATATATGACCTTCTTCAGGTTCTAGCAAGTCGTACTAAGATTTATATCATATTGGAGTTTATTACAGGTGGTGAATTGTTTGATAAAATTGTGAGTAGCTCAAGGTGGTTTATGCTATAAGCTTTTAGTGTGATTTTTATCAATATTTCTCCGTATTGATGTTGCTAATTAAGAAAGTAATGGCATAGGTAAGCCATGGGCGTCTCAGCGAAGCTGAATCTAGAAGATATTTCCAACAGCTTATTGATGGTGTAGATTACTGCCACAGTAAGGGTGTTTATCACAGAGATTTAAAGGTTTGTATTGACTGGGAGCTGGAATTCTGTCTTCATCTTATCATCATGACTTCTGCTAAGTATTTTCTTTTTCCTTATGCAGCCTGAAAATCTTTTACTTGATTCACAAGGAAATATAAAGATTTCAGATTTTGGTTTGAGTGCATTTCCAGAACAGGTGAGATATTTCTAACAAATAATTCTTAAAATTGACTTTAGTTCATGTGTATGAAATCAAATGATATATAAATGTTTGCATACTCTTGTCCAATGTTATTTGTGAAAAATCTCAGGGGGTCAGTATGCTTCGGACAACTTGTGGAACTCCGAATTATGTAGCTCCTGAGGTAATAGATGGTTGACTGACTTCTTTTTTATTAGCATGTACGAATGAACTTTTCCATAAACATTTTTTAGTAAAGAAAAAATGAATTTTTTTTTTTCATATATTAAAATTAGCTCATGCATAAAACAATTTATAGAAACTCTCTAAAATTTGATTATTCAAAATCATATTTTTAATTTATGCATAAACTAATTTTAGTTAATGGGAAAGTTTTTTCATTTTTTTCCTTATTTTTATTTTAAAATGGCTTATAGAAAAGTTACTCAAATGGATCTATATGATTTCATGTCATCTTCTGCTACTTACTATTTTTGTAGCCTGACCTTTGCATTTAACATTGATCTTTATGAGTTCAGGTACTCAGTCACAAGGGTTACAATGGTGCTCCGGCAGATGTTTGGTCCTGTGGAGTTATCCTCTATGTTCTATTGGCTGGATATCTTCCCTTTGACGAACTTGATCTAACTACGTTGTACAGTAAGGCATGGATTTATCCATGTCAAATATTTGTTTTACTGTGTAATAGATGTGATCCCCTGTTGTAACTTTCTTCAACATTATCTTTACATATAGTCACTGTTGTTCCTGCAAGTTCTTGTGATACAGACTTTCTTCTTGGTGTCAAATGCTAAGGAAAAACTGCTTTATTGAATAGTTTCTCTTTTTGGCAAAGATGATTTGTTCAAAATGAAATTTTAGATTATTATTATTATTATTAAAGCTGTTGATTTTTTTTGTTTTACTTATTCCTGTGCAGATTGAGAAAGCACAGTTTTCATGCCCTACTTGGTTTCCTGTGGGAGCAAAGTCTTTAATACACAGAATTTTGGACCCAAACCCTGAACATGTAAGAATTGGCTTTATGGAGTAAGTTTTTTTTTTCATAATGTCAAAAGAGTGTTGAGACACTGCCTTTCACTGTTAATTTATAATTAATGTTGTCTGTTTGAGCACAAAGCTGAAACTGAGTTTTGTCTCTATGATGTGGTCACTTATTGCATTCTAATTAGAACGCATCTAGAAAACCTAAGAGTTTGATGAAATGTAGTTATAAAGCATAAGTATGATCTTGACTAGTTTTCCTCTAAAAAAATGAAAAAAAAAAATGTTTACCACTAATAAGTTTACCGTATGGAAGGGGATATGATAATAACTTCAGTTAACGGAGTAATTAGGACGAAATGAAAGTTGAAAGTGTCTGTTTTGATAAAATTTCATAGAGTATTGATAATGCATAAATAAAATAATATATTACTAGTTTTCCTTTTATGTTGAAGGGAATTATAGTTTAGAGCTCATCCTTTTAGTTTTCATTATTAATACTCGAGGGAGTAAAAATAAAATGTTGTGTTTGTGACCACAGTAAGTGGCCATAAGATCTTAGAAAACCTTTTCAATTTTTATTTTCTGTTTTTTCTTTTAACTACAAACATGTCATTTTGCTTTCACTTTCTGTTCTTGTTTCTAAAAGCTTGTATAGGAAACAAGAAAATAAAAAAGGAATAATGAAAAGTTGTTTTCATTGTTTTCCATATAAAATTTTGAAAACAGAAAATAAATAAAAAATGATTATATTTTGTAATTGAAAGGGTGATAAAAACAAAAATCGTTTTTTCTAACCAAAGGGCCTTCCTTATCTTGTTCCTAAGAAATCTATGTGCTCTCCTATTGAAGGGAAATATTGCATGGTGCCTTTTATTAAGGGACATCACTTAAACATGTATTGGTTGATTGAACGTGTAGGACCCACAAAACACAGAGAAGAAGAGAAACACTTTATTTCTCATGCAAAAGAATAAATACAAAAGCCAAACGTAAACAGAAGCAAGCTTATGGTTTGTATAAGACGAGAAACTAACAAAAACGAAAACTGCCAAACTAATATAACCAACAACCCCTTCAAGCAGGGTCATAAATATTAAGGATGCCAAACTTGTGTAAAATGTTGTGGAAGTTTTTTGGTTCAAGGGATTTCGTAAGAATATCAGCAAGCTGTTGTTGAGAAGAGATGGGGAGAAGGTGAAACAATTTCTTTTGAAACTTCTCACGTATAACATGACAATCAATCTCTATATGGTTTGGGCATTCATGGAAGCTCGGATTAGAAGCAATATGACGTGTGCAGACTGGCTATCACAATAGAGCACAACAGGAATGATGTTATGCATATCAAAGTCTTTCAAAAAATATGTTAACTATTGAACTTCACAAGCAGTAGAGGCTAATGCTCTATACTTTGCTTTGGAGGATGATCGAGAAACGGTGGTCTATTTCTTGGATTTCCAACTAATAAGAGAGGAACCTAGGAAAATGAAATATCCTGTTTCAGATCTTCGTGAATCTTGACAGGCAGCCCAATCAGAGTTATTGAAACCTTTGAGTTGATGAATAGCATCTTTGGAGAAGAATAAACCTTGTGCAGGAGCTCTTTAGATATATCTAAGAATGCACTATGTGCCTTTGTGATGGTATATGCTAGGTGCTTTCACAAATTGGCTAAGAAACTGAACAACATAAGTGATATCAGGCCTTGTGTTGGTAAGGTATTGGAGTCTCCCAATGATCCTTTGATAAGAAAGGTTATCATATGAAGGAGCTTCTTTGCCGTAGAAAACCTTGGTGTTTTTTGTCATGGGTGTCATGGCAGGTTTAGTAGCAAGCAATCCAGTGCCTTTGAGAATGTCCAGTGCATATTTTCTCTTACAAACATGGATATCATTTTTAGACCTTGTCACCTCAAGACCCAAAAATATTTCGAGTTTCCTAAATCTTTAACCTTGAAGGTTTGATCAAGATAAGAGATGACCTTTTGAATCTCATGAAGGGAATCTCCTACAAGAATAATATCGTCAACATAAACTAATAAAGCTATGAAATTAGTTACCTTGAGTAAATAAAGAATGATCAACAGTTGATTGAGTAAAACCAATATTTTGCAGGAAAGATGAAAGCTTGGAGAACCACTGATGACTGGCTTGTTTCAGCCCATAAAGGGATTTTTGAGTTTGCAAACTTTATTGTTACATGAACATTCATACCAGGAGGGACAATCATGTAGACATCTTCCTCTAAATCTCCATGGAGATAGGTGTTATCCACATCAAGTTGTCTTAAGTGCCAATTTTTCGTAGCAGTAATGGCGAGAAGCATTTTGACAGTGGTCAACTTGGCCATGGGCGAGAAGGTTTCAGAGTAATTGATTCCCTCAAGTTGGGTGTATCCCTTTGCCACCAAGCGAGCATTGTATCGTTCAATACTTCCATCTGCTTTATGTTTACCTTATAAACCCATTTACAACCAATAGCCTTTTTACCTTGAGGAAGATTTGTCAAAATCCAAGTATTGTTGCACTCTAGGGCCTTCATCTCCTTTTCCATAGCTTCACACCATTGAGGATTTTTATTGGCTTCATCATAAGTTTGTGGCTCATGATTAGCAGATAAAGCAAAATTGTATTTGCGCTGATTTGATGAAATCTTTTCATAATTCAAGACAAAAGATATAGGATATTTCACTCTAACGGTATTAGAGACATTATGAAAGTAATCTTTAAGAAAAGAAGGAGACTTCGGTTTCTAAAAGATCTTCTCATATTACTGGTAAGATTATTATCAATACCATCATTTTGTTCATTTTGATTGGCATTGTTAACTTGGTCATTTTGTTCAAGTAAGTTGTTATTCTGAGTAATATGAAATTTAACAGAAAAAATTGAAAAGATTCTCAAGTTAAGTATTATTAACCTGATTATTTTCTTTCGTTTTATATGGAAAGACATTCTCATAAAAAACAATATTTCTGGAAACTAAAATTTCTCTACTGTTAATGTCAAGAACCATATACCCTTTTGTTCTGCTCTTATATCCTAGAAAGACACATTTTCTTATTCTAGGGTCAAGTTTAGTTCTATTTCTTCAAGAGTAGAAACAAAACATAGAGATCTGAAAACCTAAGATCAAACAATTGATTATGAAGGATTTCATCGGGAGTTTTATTTTTTTAGCAGCAGAGGGAAGCTTGTTTATTAAATGAACTGCATGAGATAAAGCAAAAGACAAAAAATGGGTAGGAAGATTAGAGTGAAACAAAAGGGTCCTAGCAACATTCATGATGTATATTGATGCTTTCTTTTCACAATAGCATTTTGTTGTGGTGTTTCAACATAGCTAGTTTGGTGTATGATCCCTAAATAATTATACAAATATTTCCAAACAAATTCTTGTATTAGATCTAAGAATTTTAATTTTCTTATTAAACTAATTTTGAATCAAGACAATGAAATTTTGTAGAGCATTTATGGTTTCAGATTTATGTTTCAACAAAAAAGTCCAGGTATATCTACTGAAGTCATCAACAATAGTGAGAAAAAATTGTATCCTTGTATAGATGAAACACCAATGGGCCCCCAAATATCAACATGGATAAGATCAAAGATATGAATAGTATTGTTATTACTGAGTAAAAGGAAGCCTATGTTGTTTGGCTAGATGACAAATATCACAAATGAAACTTTTATCAAAGTGAACGTAAGAAAACATATTGGAAATACAATCAAGAACTTTGTTTGAAGGGTACCCAAGTCTATGATGTCAAAGATCTAAGTCATAGTAAACATTACTATCAGAATTAATAGTATTAACAAGACACTTTTGTTTATTTTCTTGCAAGTAATAAAGACCATTGTGTAATTTAGCTTTTCCAATCATCCTCTGAGAAATGATATTCTGTTTCTGACAAATCTCACATAAGAATATTAGTTTACAATTTAAAGAATGTATCATGCGTTGCACAGAAATTAAATTGAATTTAAACTCTAGTATGTAAAGAACATTAGAAATATAGAGATACTTAGAGAAATGAACAGTTCCAGAATAATGGACAGTAACTTGCGATCCATTGGGAAGGTGAACTAAAATAGGTTTTATTTTGTAAACTAGTGAATGCAAAATGTTATATGTGATATGATCAGTAGTCCCGGTATTAAGAACCCAATTTAGATTTTTACCTTTATCAGAGGAGACAATCGTGGGCTCGGTTATGATATTGTTAGCTCTATGAGTAGACTTATTTGTTTGATCTTGCACAATTTTTAACCGTTGTTGTACCTGATCTTGGATTAATTGCATGTTAACCTTTTCTTCTATAACTTGTTGATCAGTTTGTGACCCTTCCTCTTCTTTGTTTTCACTATTGTCAAAAGCATAACTAGAGAAAAGGTTATTAGAAGTATGTTGTTCATTCTTATGCTTATACCAAGGTGGAAAGCCATGTTTGGAATAACATTGCTCAGCAGTATAATTCATCTTGTTACAGTAATTACACTGCTTTCCAAAGTGAGGATTTTGTCCTCTTCCTTTTGTTTGATTTCTCGGGTTATTCAAATTACCCTTTCCCTATGATTTCCAAGTGTTTTGGGTATTAGGGGAATTAATAACAACCTTATTACCAACCATCAGCAAAACTTGAGTTTTAATGGTGTTATAGGCTTCATTTTGCCCCTTCAAGATACTGATAACATGTTCAGTATCCCTATGCTTTATTGCATTCTTTAATACGCTACAGGTACACCTGGTATCACAAACACATGAGTGTGGGTCGCAAGATTTCTAGTTTTTCCCAAGAATTTTTGAGATTGGTGAAAAATTCTGAAACGCTTCTTTCTACCTGTTTCATTAAGTGAATTTCTTGAAGCAAATTTGACATCCTAAAGTGATCTCCTTTGGAGAATCTCTCTTTAAGATGATCCCACAAATCCTTAGCATTATCAATGTAAACAACTCTTTGGGCAATGTGATCAGATATAGTATGGGTCATCCAAGATATAACCATCATATTACATCTTTCCCAAGCATCATATAACTCATCGCTTCTTCCAGGTATAAGGATGGTGCCATCAAAGAATTTTAATTTGTTTTTTGAGAGTAGCGCACCCTTCCAATCAGAAATGGGCTAACCAGCACCATCCCAGGATTTTCACCCGGATATACGAAATATGAACTTTCAGGATTTTGTATATGATCCATAATTTTTGAGGAGCAAAAGATACACAAAAAAGAAGTAAGAAGAAAAAAAAAAACAGAAAGATTCAAAAGAAAGAACCTTGTTGAATGAATAGGAGGAGCGGTTATGCGGAAACAGTGCGGAACGAACCTGCTCTGATACCATATTGCATGGTGTTTACCATATTGCATGGTGTTTATTAAGGGACGTCACTTAAACATGTATTGGTTGATTGAACGAGTGTGACCCACAAAACACAAAGAAGAAGAGAAACACTTTATTTCTCAATCAAAAGAACTGATATAAAAAACATATGTAAACAGAAGCAAGCCTATGGTTTATATAAGATGAAAAACTAACTAAAAACGAAAACTGTGAAACTAATATAACCAACAGAAACGTAAAAAAGAAAATAATAGTTGTTTTCGATACAATTTTGAAAAAGCCAACAACAAATAAAAATACGGTATCAGTTTTTTACTAAAAGTAAAAATGATTTTATCAAATGCCTTAGGCTCTCCATAAAGACAAATTAGACTAAATTATGTTTCACCAAATACCTCTTGATCCTGTTCTAAAATGTTGGTTCTATTACTATCAAGAACATGCTCGATTCATTCTTGCATTTCGAGTATTTTTTTTCCATTTTCTGTTGCAGAGATTGTTTCAGTTTAGATGAATATTATAAATTCATAATGCATTAATCTTAATATTCTAGATTTGGTATTTTCTTCTAATACTTGTTTCTCACAACTCTCTTTCCCATTCTCATCGCTGTGTGCTTGTTTTTCAGCGTATTACCATTCAGCAGATAAGGAATGATGAGTGGTTCCAGAAGGGATATGTTCCAGTCAGTCTCCTCGAGTACGAAGATGTAAATCTGGATGATGTAAATGCTGCATTTGACAATGTTGAGGTTGGTTTATGCTTTAATTCCGCTTTTAGGTCAAGTTTAATTTTATAGGAAACCTTGTCTATTTACGCTAATTCACCATAATTTACCAAATGTACTCAATGAGTTTCGTATCCTTGGAATAAATTAAATATCAATATAAATTGTCTATTCTCCTATCTTCCTTTATATAGTTCATGGAGCAAAATAACAGTATTAGCAAATAAATGGTATAGTTTTACTATGAATGTACTCAAACCTCCGATGTAATAAAATATCAAAAGAACAACGATGATGGAGATATTAACAGAAAGGAATTGATTTAAATGCAAAAACAATCACACTGTTCGTCTTATTCAATTCAGGAAGCTTGCTTTTTCTTTGTGCATTCATACGGAATGTATCTTCTCAGTCATGTTACATGTTGACTATTTTGTCACTGCAGGATCAGATCACTAATAGGCAACGTGAAAATGCCGACATGGGTCCTCTCACTCTTAATGCATTCGACATGATAATTTTATCTCAAGGCTTAAACCTAGCAACCTTATTTGATCGTGGACAGGTATTTAATCATGATATTGTGTGATTGTGTTTTCCATTTTTTGAATAATCATTTGTGCTAATAGCCAAATAATTGCCCTTGTAATGAAACTTCGCATAAGCACTGCTTGTACTTGTAATCCTGACCAAGTATTGTGACATGCACAATAAAATACATTATTGCACATCCCATCTTCTGCCATTATCTTGAGGCGTGAATCATGTTTGTTTCTCTTTCATCCTTCCTTCCAGGACACTCTGAAATATGAAAAACGCTTCATCAGTCAAAAGCCACCGAAAGTGATTTTATCAAGTATGGAAGTTGTGGCACAATCGATGGGATTTAAGACGCATATTCGCAACTACAAGGTTTGTAGACTGTATGCATGGTTAGTAAATTGCATTGGTTTACTATTCTTACCCCCTCCCACCTAAGTTGTTCTTAACTATTTTGTAACACTTGTTCACCTATCTACTCTGAAAAATTAACTGATAGAACACTAATTAAACAGTATTATTAAATCATATAAAATGCTTGGAATACCACAGTATTTGCTGTCCACCACATGAATTCTCTGTCCAAATTACAAGACAACACACATGTATTTCACCTTTTACACACATGTAATTGCTCTTAAATTTCTTCCCTGAACTGTTAACATGACAGTCACTATTTGAACAAATTATAATAATACATAACTACTACTACTTTCTAGCAATTAACTGTCATAGTTGCCCCTAAATCTTGATTCCAATCATCAACCTAAATACTAAAGATTTAATTGTTCTAAGAATAAAACTTGCCACAGTTTCTTAATTTTATTAATCTGAACCGATATTGCTCTGCATTTTCAGATGAGAATAGAGAGCATTTCAGCAAACAAGGCTTCTTATTTCTCAGTTATATTGGAAGTAAGTTTCTATTTTCTTCAAAAATTTTCAAAGTTCCTAAACATTGTGGCTAACAAATGAATTCATTTCCTGATCGCTATTTCCCTATGTTTAAGTAGGTTTTTGAAATTGTTCCTACTTTCTTCATGGTGGACATTCAGAAAGCAGCTGGAGATGCTAGTGAATATCTCAAGGTCGGTATTTGAGTAATGCTTTCATTTTTGGTGTGGTCTCACCTCCCATCCCCCTCTTCACTTTTTATTTGTAATTTATGACAAGTAGCTCATGGATGTTGCAGTTTTACAAGAATTTTTCTAGCAATCTTGAGGACATCATGTGGAAACCACCCCATGAAAAAAGCAAATTAAGGAACTCCCGAGACTAATTGCAAAGAACAGTAGTTCCATCACCTGCTGTATCATCTACTATGATTGAAAAGTCGATAAAAAAAAACATGGTTATGGACAGCTTCGGAAACTTGTACATCTTCGAAGTTAAAAAGCCAGCTCGGCAAAGCCCCCTCTTTAGTATATCTTTAAACCATACCAAACCTTTTTATCCCTACAGAGATAGAAAACCAAATTTAAATTCTAATAGGAAATAGGAAATCAGGTATTAAAAAGATACATCTACAATTTTGTAAGGTTGGTGTTTGTAAATCTCTTTTTATCTCCGTTTTCTGGACTTGCCATTGCATTATCTCTCGTTCATGTCGTGGGAAAGTGGTAATGTTGATTGAATTATACGAATATTTTTTTAAATTTCGGTTACTATCGTTGTAAGTATACTGAAGTGAAGCACGAATTATGCTAGTTCATATGCTCTTTTTCTTTCTTTTCGGTGCATCACTAAAATTGGCGGGAAAAAAATATATACGATTTATCCATCGTTGTCTTGTAGAGATATAACATTACAGTACTGAACCACCCCATCGTACAGGTTCCCCTGTTGCTTTGACAGTGTGTCTATCTTGAATTAAGTTGGATATCACATTTTAACTTGATATCATTTATTGTTATTTTACCAAACTGCAGGGACAATAACATGCTAAGGGATGGCAATAAACTCTTACATGTGTGGATTAATCCTAAAATATTAATTTTGATTTTTAATTTCTCTTACTAGAAAACCCAAACTTCAACAAAACTGGATATGAGGACCTAATTTCTAATATCTTGGAAGCAGGTACAAAGATGACAAGGGAATTGGAAATTGAGAGACAAAACTCATCTGATCCACCATTTCTCATGTTTACTTGCTATGTACTAAATTAGTTATCATGTTGGTTATTTCTGTAGCAATATTACTCTACAACAAAAGATAAGAGAAATAAGCAGAAAATGTAATAGGATGATGTTACGAATAAATAAAGAAAAAAAAAGTTTGTATAAGATATGTAACGAATAACATAACTCTATTTTTTTACACATAAAATTTTAAATTATTTGGATTCAGAGGACTATTAATAATAAAACTTTCAAATATCATGACCATTTTTCCCCCAGAAAAAAGAATACCAATTTCTTGAATTTGACTTCCTACTCTTCAAAGAAAACTCACTCTACACCCTATTTTTACATTTTACGATGTACAAAGAAATCCTCCAATTTCTCCGTTTTGTTATACTGTGTTTGTTTCCGATGCAAATCTTGTGTCACTGACTTGACGGATGTTTAAGACCATGGAACGGTCAAACAATCACCCCAGAAGTCTATAATCAGACACAAACAGATGATTTATTGTTGATATTTTGGATTTTGTCTGAACACATAACAGTAATACAAAAATTTCAGTAAACTAAAGAAATCACTGTTTCACATGTTCTGCGGAGCTAAGATCATCATCTTACCATCTTAGACGGGTAAGCCATTTGTACATTGCTTAATACATGTTAACGATTTCATGTGTGATCTAGTAATCCAGCTCTAATCTTTTGGGAAGCTATAATCACAGTATTTTGAAGCATATCAGTGTAGTTTGACGCGTTATATTAATAAGTGTAGAGATGTGTAAAAAACTCTATCAACTTTCAATTGCAACACATGAACTTTTTAGCTGCTTCTTTTAGAGAAAACCACAAAAATTTCCACAACAGCATTTTCCATTGACAAATTTGTGAAGCCGCTTACTATCTTTAACGATGATTTCCCTACCACTCAGTGTTGAGACATACTTAATAAAATTATGACTATCTCTGCATATTAAGGTACTCTTGACAACTCTTACTGGAGAAGAATTTGGAAAGTTCTCCAACCCAAATGTAATGGCCAATTGCTCACTGTGATAAATGGTAGGGGAGGATGTCTTTTCCCCCTTCTCTTCATCAAGTATTTCCACACTTTCTAGCATCTTATATCCAAGATTTTTCGCTTTGGCAAGTAAATCTTCCAATGATTTACATATTTGTGAACTCTCTGCGTGTGTGTTGTCATTGGTTTTAAACGAATACACTTTGTGTTTAACACTAATCCAACTCCAATCCTTCAATTGTCCAACATTCTCCTCTTTCATCATCTTCCTCACCCTTGAAACATCCTCGAAACGCCCAGCTGAGTGGTACATAGTCAACAACAATACATATGTCTCCGTATCTTTTGGTTTGAGACTTAGTAACTGTTCAGCAGCATAAAACCCCAATTCCAGATTCCCATGGCTTCTACAACCAGCAATGAAGTTTGACCAAATAGATTCACTAGGCACACAATCCATTTTCTTAATGAAATTCAGAGCTTGGTCCACCCGACCTAACCTCACAAACATATCAACCATGATATCATAGTGGTCCATAACAGGCTTAATTTTATATTTCTTTTGCATAATCTCAAAGTAGTTGAATGCTTGACTGAGCATTCCAGCATGGCTGCATGCTGCTAAAACACCCACAAAAGTTATTTCATTTGGTTTAACTCTTGCAAGTCTCATATCCTCAAAAAGATGCAATGCTTGTTGTGACATACCATGCTGTGAAAAACCAGAAATCATAGAAGTCCATAATATCATAGTTCTAGTAGGCATCTCAAGAAATGTTTTGCTGGCCCTCTCAATGCTACCACACTTACTGTACATGTTAACCAGTGAAGTACCTACAATCACATCCGACAAGCATCCAGCTTTCATAATATGTGCATGAATTTGTTCCCCTTGCTCTAAAGCTACCATTCTACTACAAATACTCAAGACACTAGACAATGTATACAGATCAGGTTTCAAGCCCGACCGGTTCAACTTGGAGAAAAATTTCAGTGCTTCACTTCCACTTTCGCATGCAGAAAGATTATCCTTTGTGAGTTCCATCATCTGTGCATGCCCAGCAATCATTGCATTCCATGTAACCAAACTGACATCATCCATTCCATTAAACAACCTTTGAGCCTCACCAATACAACCATTTTTAATGTACAAATACAACAAAGAATTCCTAACACGTAGGTTTGATTCATATCCAAACTTAACACACAACGTATGAGCCTGCTTCCCAAATTCTAGAGACTGAATTCCACAACACTGGCTCAAGACACTGGTTAAAGTGAACTCATTAGGCTTTATGTTCTCAGAAATCATCTCAAGAAAGAGTTTCAACCCTTTCACAGCTGCACCATTGTCCCCACAAGCAGAAACAGCTGAAGTCCATGAAACTACATCCTTCTCCTTGATTCTCCTAAATGCTTTCAGAGCATAATCCAACCTGCCACATTTGGAGTATAGACTACAAAGCGCATTGCCAACATTGGTGTCAAACTCAACATGGTATTTGATTATGTAAGCATGGAATTGATCTCCTAACTTCAGAGAGTACAAAGAAACACAAGCATTTAGAATAACAGCGAGAGTGTAAGCAGAAGGGAAACTTCCTGCATGCAACATCTCTTGAAAAGCATGAATGGACTGCTTTGGCCGCGAGTTCTGCTCATAACCTGTCATTAACGTGGTCCATGCTACCACGTTCCTTCTAGGCATGTTGTCAAACACCCTGCGAGCATCATCCATGTTCCCACATTTAGCATAAACGTTGACCAAAAATGACATGACATAAACGTCTTCATGAGCACCCGTTTTCATGACATGACCATGAACAATTTGTGTGTCTGAATTGGAGCACTTGTCTTTGCATTGTTGCAACAAGGGAAAGTAGAAAGATTGTTCTACCTCCTCTGTTCCCTCTCTGGTCAATGAAAGTGCTTCCCGAAAATCCAAATTCGTTAATCTGTGGCTTTTCTGGAAAGATATGTTTTGACCCTGAAAGTTGCATTTGTGATGTGAGTGATACTTCTTTTTTCGTCTGAACACTGATTATGAATAGAATACAACCAATTACAAGTTTAAAATGATATGGAAATAAATTCACTACAAATTTCAACACTTATTATTATTTATAAACACTGAACTAATTTAAGATCCGTTCCTCGAAGCAATAATCAATATTCAACAGAAAAATAGCTGCACAATAGACCAAAATATAAAATTGTATGTGAATTATTGTTTTGTGAGCATTGTCATGTATACAACAAATTAGAAGGTTTAAAATGTTGTCGAAAACTTTCAGTACAGATTTCAAAAGCTTATACCTTTAAATTTTTTATTGAAATAATTACACAATTAAGTAATAATATTAACATACTTCTAAATAAAGTTCATCACTTGCTTTAATTCAAACTTCAAAAAATCGAGCAATCTAAATAACAGTACTAGCATACAAGTAAAACCTTTCCTAAAAGTAAGAATAAGTATTTAAATTTAAAGACTAAAATGACAGACTAACAGTCCTACGTTTTATAGTTTGAGACTACAAAGTGTTTATATCAAGTAAAATGTGGTTAACGCCTTCAAAGATATGATTGTAATATGTTGGTTAGACAAATGAAGTAAATGCTCTGAAGAAGTAACAGAAAGAGAGAGTACCTTCTCCGTTGGATAGGAGCTTGGCGGGTATTTTCTGAAGTGTGGGTGGAGCTTGAGAGTTGCAGTGACAACAGTGGAAGAGAAAGAAGCCATGCCACGATTCAATCAATCTATGACTGCGAAAGAATAAAAGGGGAATTATGGCACGAGTTTACGATTTGTCGCATGATTTTTTGTTTTTTGTTAGAAAAATATCAGTCCTTGGTCGGATAAAAATTGTGGGAAGGAGTGGAACGGATATCGGATGTCAACCACTCGCTGAGTATGGAAACTTAACTACAAAATAAGGTTAAAACAATCAGCTACGCCATTTGAACTCCCCTTCTTTTGAGTGTGGTTTTTATAAACTTTCCTCATTAATATATATATTTTTTTAATAAGAATTGGGTTTCACTGTGATGATTATGTTTAAGAGACCAAGATTTAAATGGGTAATATTTTAAAAATTATCAATGAAAATATTAAATTACAAGATTCAATTTTTAAATTAAATATAACTATAGCAATTATTTCAATCATCAATATAAATATTTTGGTTGAGAGTTTTATTTTAAATTTACATAAGATATATCTCTAAATTTTTTGACATTATCATCCAATATTAATAATGAATTTGCTGATTTTTATAATAATTATTCTAAAAAAATATTTATGATGATTTTATATTGAATGTTATTGCAAAACTATTTTGCATAACAAGGCATGAAAATTAAAGTTTTTTTTCCCACAAGATTGTCATTGTGTATGATATGGTCGATCATATTGTATACATTTTTGTATGACATAGTCGATTTATATAATTGATCTAAACAATTTTAAAAGTTATATTTACGATGGTTGATAATGTAAAATTATTTATAAGAATAATACATAAAATTAAATTATTTTATTTTATGTCTCCTTGTTATTGAATATGATATAACATGGTCGATGGCATATTGTATTAGTTTTTGGGTTCTGTTAATTCAAACAACACATTATTTATATTTTACTCTGTCATTCTTATGTCTTTATTTTGTTCATTAATCTTTTAATTTAAACATTCACCATCAAAATCCAAATTAGCACCGCAAATGGAGTAAAGTTATATGACAAATGAACCAAGTAAATACAATTGTGTTGTATATAAAAGATTTGTACTAAAATTAAACAAAATAGTTTGTTCAAACTAAATTAAAGAATAGTTCAAGCAATAAATTTTTTTTGTCCAATGAATTACATACTACATTCTTTAACTGAATTATCTTTTCTCCATAAATTATATTGATTTAGTCATCGAAATCATTTTCTTATCAGAACAAATGATAAGATAAAAAGAAGGATTATTCTATTTCTTTTAATTTGAATTAATATATTATTTCGTTATTCATATATCTAATAAAGTAATATAAATATAGAAGTATTAATAGAAAAAGAAACAAATCATTAACGACAGTTAAATTTTCACCGTAAGAACATAAAATTTGCTCTCGTTTCTGTCTTACTGGGTAGTGTCGGTGTAATCTACTAGGATTAAATTTTTAATATTAAAAAAGTAGCGATAGGATTTTATAACATATTTAATTTATGTTTAAATACACACAATAAAAACTTGTGTAAAGAAATCAATCGTTTTAAACATATAATGAATGATTATTTTAATTTTTTTTTCATATCTCATCATGGCATGAGTTGTACACTAAACTATTCTTTTTTATTGAACTTAAAAATAGTGATCTGTCCAACCATATTTTATGCTATTCATATTATTGCTGAAATATTGACTCGTAGACATAGCATTAGATTTGATAACCTGAAATTGTCTTATCATCATAAGAGCAAAAAATATTCTGCTGTAATATATTCTCAATTATATAAGAATTTTAGCTTTTGAAATAGTTTGTAGGTCAAGGAAGGAATCCAAAATTGTTCAAGTTAAATGGTCCCCATCGGATCATTACTGAATTAAATGTAATACAGACACACATGAAGCATCTAAGTAAAGAATATGAGACGTTTCTCTATATCTTTTCATGTTAGTTCGACATTTAAGGCCGAGATCATGAAAATTATTCATGCTATTGAAAATACTCATCAGAAATCCTGGATATTCATTTGATTTGAGAGTGATTTTATATTAGTGATCACAACTTTTCCTGGCGATTTTAACAGACCGTGGAGAGATTAAGAAGTGTTGTGGTTTTAATTGTTTCCCTTCTTTGAACTCCTTTCATACTCTCTTTTCTCATCTATTGTTACTCTAATATTTCTTTAATTATTTCTTCTTACACCTCCATTCCTATATTTCTACTTATTACAAAGATAATATAATATCACCATATTTCAAAAAATTAATAATTCGAAAATGTATTTTAGAGTGTCATGAAATAATGGATTCATTTTCCTATTAAATTGGATTCTTCAATCCATAAATTTTTGAATATTTCAGATTATTCATTTCTGAATATCAATCAAAATCTGTAACTTCTAAAATATTTCATATTACTAATTTTGTAAATATAATAAATATGGAATGGTGGAAGGAACCAAGATACAAGAAGATAGAATCAGTCTACTTCTTCACATATTTAGTTATTATTAAGAATATAGAATTTTGTTATTATTAAGAATATAGAATTAAGTTAATCCAACTTACGATGACTAACCACTCATTAAGCTAAAAATAGATAATTCAATCCGATTTATTTTATGTTGAGTTAAAGATTTTAAAATCCGACTCAACGAAATATTAAAACACAACAAATACAATAAATATAATTAATATGAATATAAAGAACGCACTAAAGGTTAAAGACACATTAGAGATGGTAGACCCACTAAAGGCAAGTGGACTTTGCAAATGTGATGATGGATGTAATGAACTTGTGATGAACAAATAGAACACAGCAGATTAGGTAAACACAAAAGACAATGAGCAACAGATACAACAATCTTAAATAAAGATAACTTTGTTAGTTTGTAGTAATGCCGATTCATGATAACATAAATTAATGAAATTAAATTTTTATTAAATTATTAGTTATTTTTAAAATTTAAAATATATTAAAAATTTTAGATCAACCTATCATAATCCAAATTAATCCTGTTGGATTTATGGATTAAGTGAGTGAAATTGATTTTGATCCCCATTCAATAAAAAGAAAAAAGAAAAAAAATCGAACCAAATCAACAAATTGATTATCAGACCAATATCAATAAATTTCTCTATAAAATAGAATATTACTGTGCAAGTTTCTGAACTGCTGCGATTGATATAATTTGAATAGCTAACACTTACATTGCTTTAGGGGTGAATAATAGAATTTATGGGGAATTTCTGTAAATTAGATAGACGTAGAGAGGATAAGATTTGTATATAAAAGAGGAAATAATTCACGTTTTCATCCAATACTTCGGAACAATCCAATGAACGACACATCTAATTCCGCGTTATTAATTCCAAAAGCTTCCAATTAATACTCCAGAAGAAGTTTCATCTCATCTTCACTTACCATACTTCATTGTTTCTATCTCAAAACCAATTGTGGGAAACTGCTTAGCATAATCCTCTACTTCATGACGGAGATTAGCAATCTTCAATTGAACTTGTTCATCTGATTGCATCGCTGCCACAAAATCCTTCAACTTTGTACCTGAAATTGGTGTAACCAAGGCGAGTGATTTACAAGAACATAAAGATACTTGCTATGCCTTTGAAACTTCAAATATAACAAAGAACTCATATGCAGAGGTAAGGTAAGCTCAACCGTTAGTATTTTCCTTAATCTGCAAGGCCAACTTGACAGCAGCATCAAAGTATTCAGCTACTTTTTTAAAATCTTCCTCAGCAAATCCCCTTGATGTGAGAGCAGGAGTTCCTGAATCACAGGATAATATTCATTAACATGCAATATAGATACACTAATACGCATAAAAAAGGATGAGCAACAGACTGTACCCATCCGAATGCCGCCAGGAACCATTGCAGATACATCCCCTGGAACGGTATTTTTATTGGCAGCTATATGAACTGCTTCCAGTACCTTCTCAACCCTGGAACCATCAATGCCCTGTCAAACAGCACACATTGAAAACTAATTTCACCTTGATGCTATAAAATGTAAAATATTACACATGAAATTAAATCAAATCAAATCAAATATTCCATAAAAAAACTCGGTCACTTCAGAAGCATTGGAGAATATGTTGATTTGTTTGCTTGGAACAACTCTAATAAAATGCTCTTAAATGACATGTGATGTTTATAGTAGTTTGGGTTGGTAGAATAACTATAATGATACATGTCAGATGCCAATTTTTAACTACTTAGGAATAAGATAGCCTAACTATTATAAAAGTCTATCAATGTCTATTGGGTTTGTATAGTATAGTCTACTAAAGAGAAAATTAACTTCCAGTGCAATTCCACTAAAATTTTCTTAACATAATTATTTTAAAAACATCCAGCGAGGTATCTATATGTCAAAGCATTCCATGTTCCATATAAAATATAAACAAAGGAGGTTTTGCACATTAAACATCTTCTGAAGCCAATTTGTCCATAGTAATAGCTGATTTTCCATTCTCCCCAGCCCAACATATGATTTAAACCAAGCATAGAAAGGCTGATCTGAACTGGTCTATTTGACATGTAAAAACAATTTGGCACTATCTGGGTTTCTTTTTGAGACAAAAATATAACCAAGAAATTTTCAGAGGAATGGAACAGACCATTTACCTTGTTTCGTAAGTTCACCAACACTAAATGGTTCTCAGTTCCACCAGATACTAAGTCATAGCCTTTCTCTAACAAACTCTGGGGATCAAACAACAAAGCAAGGTCAGCTATAACTGAAGAAAATGTCAGGCTAAACATTTACTAGAAGACATAACTAATAACAGATTTGTAATGGCTGAATACAACACTTGTGTGCATCATACAAACGGCATTCATTTTACCTGTGCAAATGCTGAGCAGTTGCTAAGTACTTGCTTTTGGTAATTCTTGAATTCTGGTGTCATGGCCTACATTTACAGAAATGAAGAAAGAAAAGAACTTACATCAGTCTGGCCGCAAAAATTGTATAAGAATGATCATTATGCTTTTATAGAAAAATGCATTTTGCCAGGAAAACTAAAATAACTACATTTGATTAGTCAATTAAAGAACCTGCTTCAGTGCAACTGCTAAGCCTGCAATAGTATGATTGTGTGGACCACCTTGAAGTCCAGGAAAAACAGCCTGATTTATTTTGTCCTCATAATCATATAACACCTATAGGATGAATTCAGAAAATATAGGAAAATTTCAGGTTACTCAAATTTGAAATGGTTAGAAATGAAAACCAAATGGACGTAACTCAACCCTCAAAGCAATATAAAATCAAAAAATATTGATCAAATCTAAAGCCTAGACATTAAGAGCATAAAGTTCACTATATCTTAAGATTGTCTAACATAAAGTTTGACATATGCTTTGATAAATGTAAAAATTGAGAACAGACAAGGTATAGCTCAAAGCTAGCTTAAATGAGAGAGTATTGATCAAGTGACATTTGTTGCCCATATACTCTGCCAATATCGTTCTTAACATATTGAAAAAACTGAGAAATTGTTTTAAGAAAGTATTATACAACCATAACCATGAACATTTATGATCACAGTCTACAACTACTACAAATGGGGAACTTACACTTTTAGGGTAAAAAGTATTTTACATCCCTGAAGTATAGCCCCTTTCTCGACCCGCAAAAAAGAGAGGTGGTTTCCCTTTTATCACTGAACTCCCTTGTGGATTATTGTAAGTGAAAATGTTTACCAATACAAAAACAAAAATTTAATTTTATTAAGTAAAATCCCCTGATGTTAGTTTATTTGTCACTTAAACCCCCACCCCATAGAGTAACCCCTTGAAGTTTGGCTTCAAGTGTAGAAAGGTTAACTCGTGCTTCATTTATATGAAAAAAATAATGTTTCCAACTTAAAACCAAACCACATGAGGGTTAAGTAATAACAGAAGAACTTCAGAGGAGTGAGTTCATTTTACCCTATTTTTCAAATTCTTTTATCTTAAACGTTAAATTTATAGTTTAAAACTCACTTCCTTCCCTTGCTTGTTTATCTCTTTCACACCCTTCCTGAAGAAAATCATAGCCCCACGTGGTCCACGAAGTGACTTATGTGTTGTGGTTGTTACAACATCTGCATAATCAAAAGGAGAAGGAATAACACCTGCAGCAACCAATCCACTGATATGTGCCATATCAGCCAACAGAACTGCCTTCTGCTTGTCACAGACCTATCAAATTTCAAGCATAAAAGATTCAACACCATCACTAAATTGTTCTAAATGTTAAACGCCTAAGCTTCTGTATCAAATATAATATACCTTGCGAACACGTGCATAATCATAAAGACGAGCATAGGCACTGGCACCAGCAACTATTAATTTTGGCCTAAAAAGTGCAGCACTTTTCTCCAACTGCAAATATTAAATAAAAATTCATTATGTCTCAACCCACAGTGTGCATGAAACAGGTAAGTGTGAATCTAACCCTACACCACATTCAGAATAGATAGCAGAACAATGAATACCACAACAATATGCTCTACTAAGAGGGTAATATTTCAATCTTAACCATGAAATGATTAACTTTTGAAAGATTTGAACAAACATCTTCTCTCCTCTCTGTTCCTAATCCTTTCACATTAACCAATTCAACCATCTGCCCCTTCCCAATCCTCCCCTGCTACTTCCTCTTCCCTAACCATACACTTTCAAAAAATTTATTGATAGCAGGGGATCAATTACTATATCTTTAAATTCATAGTCACTGCAATATTTTATAGGATAATAAGATAATGTTTACCAACACATTCTTTAATTAAACATAAAAAAAAAAAAAAAAATCAACTCATTAGTAAAAGAGGTAACAGTGAATAGCACCTGAAATAGAAACAGCCACTTAAAAGTTTCTATTAGATAAAAAGGAAATATCCACTACTCAGAATACAATGGTACCTACCTACCTGGTCATAATCTATATAACCAGTGCTCTCATTCAATCTGTATGGCATTGTTTCAAAGAATATAGAGACAGCTGATATCTTCTTGGTATCAGTCTGCATGATACAAACAAATAATCAAAAACTGGTGTACAAAGAATAAATAAAAAAAGGGCTGTAAAAGATTTAGAGGTTAGATTTGGGTCATATGGTAATATTAAAGAGTGAGGGAGGTCCTCATTTGCAGTTTCAGACAACACTGTTCTTCTGATTTTGTAAGGGCAGATATTTTTTCAAAATGTTCTAGTCCTATTGACATATTTTTCATTGCTTACAGCTTTTGTATTAAGCTAACAAAGTAGTTTAGTGAGAATTTATTTCAATCACAAAAGTTTGAGGTTGGAATATGATTTTGTTTATCTATAAATTTCTTCCTCCCTTACCTTTTTATATGAAAAGCTTGTTGTCTTAGCTTCCTTGTGGGTTTCTGCTCATGGGTTTCTTAAGGGTGTTCCTAGGTGTGACATGGAAAGGGTTTCTCTTTGGAACTAATTTTTATAGCCTTCCCTTCTTTATTGAACAGCATTTTTTTAAAACTTTCCTTCTTAATAAAAACTTCTCTTATCTACGAATGAAACAAAAATAAAAGCTACATATTGATCATGTCAGTACCTATTTATTTGAAAAAAAAAAGGAACTAAAATGTGCAATGACAATGACACTCATTCATCATGTCTTATTGCAGACTTGATAGAATTATCAACTCATGGAAGCAGGTACACAATGACCACAACTGGTAATCAGAAGCAGAACTTAACCTGATAACCATGTGATAGATGTCCACCATGGGGAAGATCAAGTGCCATAATTCTCTCATGAGGTTTCAATAAAGCAGTGTAAACTTGAAAGTTAGAAGGGGATCCGGATAATGATTGCACATTGACTGTCATAAACCAGAGAACATTAGATTCTCCAAGAAAGCACATTATCAAAATTTTGTTCCCCCAAGTCGTGGAGGAGTGGCACAGGTTCTTCAAAAAAATAATAAACTATTATCCAGCGACAAGGCAACAAGAAAGTGATAATATGCATCAAAATTCAAAAGCAGAAGAGCTTTGTACATTATCCATTTATATTAGTGAATTTCAATCACATATACTTTTACTCCAAAACAGTTGTCTATAATTTATATGTTAAGTACATGATCTGTCCATTATAAAAAAAATTGAGATAATCCTCCAGTGTAAGTAGGTCTTGAAAAGATAAGACACTGCTCAATCACTATAAAAGGAAAACCTAAATATAAATGTTACTCTAGAGAATGAAGAACTCAAACCAAAAATCACTTTTTTTCGGGAGTAAAGGAAAGGAAAAGACCAGTAGCTTATGCTGTCAGTAGCAAAATTATTACTTCCAGAAACTTGAGTACTGAATCCCTATATATATATATAAGGAGAGATAAACTGACTCTTCATTCTCACTCTTTTTTAATCGAACTGTCAAAGATAAGCACAAAAGGAAGTTGGAGATGAGAAATAACTCTTTTAAAGTTAATTTTGAAGTAATTTGATATCTCCTTTCTCTCTCTCTCTCTCTCTCTCTCTCTATATATATATATATACAATTCTCTAAACCAGAAATCAATAAGCTAGGAAATAAAACAAATAAAAAATGAAGGAATGAAACATCAATCAAGTCCGTAGAATAATTTACTTCAAGCATAGATGTTGCTTTATTATCACAAAAGAAATTAAAATCAGTTAAAATGTTCATTTGAAGAGAGCAAATGATTAATATATCAGTATATAGGATTAAAAATCAGAGCAAGATAATAGCTCTTTTAACCAAAGTGATCTCCATTGATATATTAGCACCGCTCCTAAAAAATCCCAACTTTAACTAACATCTAAGCAAACAAAAACCACAATGTTCTCAATTTCTTTTTCACAATGCCTTAACATGCACACGACCTGCTCTAGATCCGAATAACGAAACTCAAATTGCATTACAATTGAATTCCAGGCTTACGTACCTCCCCATTTTGCCGGATCCAACCGAAAAGCTTCAAGCGCACGCTTCTGACACAAGGTCTCAGCCATGTCAATGTACCTAAACACCGAATTATACACGTAACGTAAGCCTAAAACCAACACACAACAAATCTACAATAAATTTCAGAATCCAAAACAAAACGCTCATGACCAGATCCACATACTCATTTCCTCCATAGTATCTAGCTCCAGGATATCCTTCGCTGTATTTATTCGTCATCACCGATCCAACGGCTTGCATCACCGACAGCGACGTGAAATTTTCGGAAGGTATAAGTTCGAACCCCTAACAGTCAGTACAAATAGACGTCCATAAATTCAAACAACGATTGAACGAAAAATCAGAAAGGTTATTCATTAAATCAAAGCAAAGCACGCAAGAAGAAAACTTGGATTCACCTTCCATTGGCGCGCTTTCTCGAGTTCGATTATGTCCGCGATCTCTGGATCCACGACCTCGAGAGGATCGTTGAGCTGCTTTGTCCACTGCGATTGACAAAAATTTTCAATCAGATACGAACAAAAATTTCAATTAGATGCGAACAAAAATTTCAATTAGATGCGAACAAAACTTTTCAATTAGAATCAGAATTGACTTACATCGGCACGAGATTTGTCTTTTTCGTGAGCGGAGAGTGAAGAAGACTGCAACAAAGCACAGAGTATTCATAATCCGAGATGAAAACAGATAATGGAAGAATGTAAATATGTGTGTGTGTGTGTGTGTGTGTGTATATATATATATATATATAGAGAGAGAGAGAGAGAGATAGATAGAGAGAGAGAGAGAGTACCGTGCGATAAATGGAAGTGGCATTGGAGAAAGGTTTGTTAATGGTGGAGGAAAGCCTGCGAAGTGCCATGGCCATTGTGACGCGATACGAAGCGACTTTGTTTTCTCTCTCGCAACGGGGATTGTGTGTATAAATAAAGGTTGCTATATATGGGTTGGCTATAGAAGGTGGGTGAGTGAGAGTGAGAGTGAGAGCGGGTGAGTGAGGTTGGTGGTGTATTCTTTTGCACTATGTGGGTCCTGATAATTGAAATGCGGGTAGGATAGGGACATTCAGCACTTGCAAACTTGACTGGATGCACATTATCACGGATCATTATGACCAACGGGCACCTTCCCACCTCGTTTGTCTTCTTATGATTCCTCATTCAGCCCTGACTCGGTTAAACAGAATTTTTTTTTTTTTTAACTAAAAAAATGCATTTCTAATTGTTTGGTGAAAATAGCTAGATATTGTTAGAAGAAGTTGAGTTTATTGTAAAATTAAAATAAAATAAATTGTAATTTTTATGGTATGTTTTTTAAAATTGTAAATATAAATAATAAATATTTATAAATTAAATGTATACAAATAATTAAAAGATTAATTTTACAAATTTACATAAGCATTTTTTTAAAGAAGAAAACAAAAAAAAATAGTAAAATTAAAAGAACTAAATAGGCGTGATTAATGTATTGAATCAAAAGTTAAATTATTTGGACACTGTCCGAATTCAGTTGTTAACAGAAATAATCATTAATCATATTTTACTTACATCTTGATTGGGATGGATAGATTAATCTGAAACTAAGTTTAATTCACTCATAAACAATGATTAAAAAGGAATATGAAAAAAAAGTGTAAATTTGAAGAAAATCACACCGGAAAGAAAAAGTAATAATCTAATGAAAATATCCATGCAAAGAAAAAATGGCAAGACCTATTAATAACATAAACTATATGGAAAAGGCAAGCTAGAGAGATTTTCTGATTTTCTAAAGCTCTCAAAAGTGATTTTAAGTGAGAGCTTATGAACTTGGAATGAAAAGCTGAATTGTTATTTCATTTTATTTAGAACGAGGTTTTGTAATATCTTTTCCAGAAAAAGTTTTCAACAATTCAACGTGTTGTGTTTAGAATTTATAAATAAATTATATTTATATACAAATAAATAAATATAAATATAAAATATATAAATATAAATATATTTATATATTTTGATATATTTATATTATATAGTTATATATTTGGATGTGAATGTTCAGTAGTAAAAATATGTGTTGTATTTATTAAGATATATTTAAAATTAAGTAATTATTATATAATTTTAAATATTTAATTTTTTAATTTAATATTGACTTTTAAAAATATATTTTAAATTTATTGATAAGGAGAAAATAATGATCGAGGGATATTTTTGTAATTATTTATTCTTGACAAATTTATCGACAGATATATCTCGTCGATAATTATTTATTTATTTACTGACTAATTATTTATTTATCGACGGACTTATCGACAAAAGTAATTAATTGTTCAATAAGACTAAATTTCATGTTTTTAAATTCGTTGATAATTTCTATCAATAATTATATATATATATATATATTTATTTATTTATTGGTAAATATATCTTGATAATATAAGATTTTCTTGTAGTATATGCGTTAAAATTATATAAATTAACAAAAAATTATAAGAGTTACATTAGACATTTTCTATAAATTAACTTATTTACATTAGAAATTTTCTATAAATTAACTTATTTATAACAAAAACTCATGTATTTTATTAAAAAAATTGTCTAACCACATTTGATATTAAACTATTTTTAGTTGTCTCCATACGTTAGGCAAGCAGATGACTTGGGTTGGGTTTCTAGCCGGTCTGCAAATAAGCATCAGTCATTATACTGTCAAACTGGACCAACCTTGAAGAAACAAAAGGAAAATAATTACGGGATTGAACCAAATAAAATCAAAAAGCTTTTGAACACTTGTATAAAGAATTGCCGATTATTTATAACATCTCACCATAAAAATTCACTAGTTTCCTGTTAAAGTACACCTTCATTTATATCTACGTCTTTATAGCATCCACTTTTTCTATTAAAATAGTATATTATTAAATAAATATTTAATTTTTAAATAAAAAATTAACAGAAATATATGTCATCTAGTGTTGTTGAAAATTGTAGATATATACAAATCATGATCTAAACTTCTATTACATAGTTTGCTCTAATTGGACCAACAAACTAAAACCATGAAGTACAATATTTATATTTTCGTTCTTACATGAAAAATGTGAAAAATATTCATCAATTGGATTTAAAAAACTAAAATGATCTCAATTCAAACTTCCTCGTAAATATTTTTAAGAAAATAAAATATGAAAAAAAAATCTGTCTTTAACATTGTTATTAATATTTATCCTTATGCACCTTGTATCCTGAGCAAGCGTTGGGAACATATTCTACCCCATTACAATGAAAATAGTAACTTACCATGTTGAACAAAAAGCTTGTCCTGGTGGGGGAACAGATGCCATTTACTAATGTCACATAGCAAAAGGTATAGTTGTTGATGGGTGCCATGTGCATTGATTCTCATATTAGTCATCATATTGCAGCATCAAGTTTTTTACTTCAGACAAATTTTCTGGTAAAATACGTGCATGGAAAAAAGTGCCATTGTATATCTACTTCTGCCAATATTTGTTGGATTATATCGTTTGAATCCCTTTTTTGGATCCTTTTATGTCTCTCGTTGTTTTGCAACCCGTGAATTCAGTTGATAAGGTAACTTTTTTGAAACTAAGAAGAACATTGAACTAAAAGAAACTTATGTGCAATTCACCCAAATCCCTCAAAATATAGCAAAATCTCTTGGATAGAATTGAGACAAAAAGCTAATGAGTATATTTTCATGTCGGTTTATTTTGTTAAACCTCAGATAATAAAGATACCACTTTGACCCTGGTGTGTCTTGAGGTTTCTTGTTGGAATGAGACGATGGAGTTTCCACATTTTGTAAAATCCCAAGGAAAAGTCAACACTACACTTTATAATGTTGATACCTTAAATAAATTTATTTTCTAATATATAATACTTCAAATTTATTTTCAAAATAATTATATGAGAATAAGGGGTGGAACCGGGGACTGGAAGGGCGGAACCAAGGGATTGGCAAGGATTAAGAAAAAAAAAATCCCTTTTAAATTTTATTTAAAAAAATTATGATCCCTTTATGTATATGTGTGTGTGTGTGGAGTGGTCCAGAGTTTAATTTTCTGATTCCGTAAAATTTAGGTTTTTTAGGAGCTGAAAAATATAAAACAAAATGTATTTTTTACTAAAGTTTTATCTTGTGTTGGTGGGAGCAAAAAATACAATATCCATGATGATATGAAAGACTTGTAATCAGCAATCCATACCAAATTTAAAAAAGGGTAGTCGTTAACTGTTGGAGCCAGAGTGTTAAACTAGGGAATATATAGTTTCATTACATAGAACGAGTAACCATTTCAAATGCCAAAAGTAAGAACAAAAGTTTCCTTTTATTCCAACGAATACCCCATCTCTCTGCAAGTTATTGGATAAAAAAGCAACAAGAAATTGGTTACACAGTGGAACAAATTGGTGTCCTTTGTACGCTGCATCAACCAAATAATTTGCATAAACAAGATTAGTACATTATACTTGTATATAATACACGCGTATTATACATTATTAGCGTACCTCGAAAGCTTGAAAGTTGAACCCTTATCCCTAGTTGAGAGTTTTGGTTGAAGTTGTGGGAGCAGCATATCGAGCTGAGAATCTACGACGCGAAGATTCTTCCTCTTCGTCCATGCAACCCTCATCGAAGTTTTGAGCGTAGCTTAAAGGGTCATACCCGAAACCACCAACAGGTTTGTGAGAGCTTGTTCTCCTCAGTGGCCATGGAAGCTTCAGCTTGAGACACCCCCAACACGAAAGCAAGCCTGTTCTAGGAGATGATGAAGAAGTTTTCTCCATTAGTTTGAGAATGCTTCATGGAAGGGAAGTACAAAAACTCAGTATCAAAGGCTTCTTATTCACTATTTTTCTCTTGTGCTAGTGATTCTAAGTGTGTGGCAGAGAATATTATAATAATATTTACCAAATAACTCAACAGCAATTTAATCCTACAAATAATTGACAAATAAAGTGGAAGTTAAATACTATAGGTAGAAGAAAAACAGGGAATAAATAAAAGTGTTGGACACAACTCACATCTTTTATTTATCTCCTCTCTGGTTTTTCCTTGTTAAACAAAGTCACTTAAATTTCTCGTCTCTATTTCTGCTATAACCCCTCTGACCAAATACATCATAAAAGTGATAGGTACTGTTACATTAGTCTTGAGACTACACAGTATTAAATAAATATTTAAAGTTGATTACTTATTTCATATTAATTTCTAAATATATGATAATATTATTACTTTACTCATACTATTTTGAATTTTGAAGTAATATGATTATTAGTTTAATTTTTTAGAAAAAAATATTTCAAAGACTAATTTCTGTGTCCTAAAATTTAAGCACCACGAAAACAAAATTAGATGAGATTTAATAATTAAAAAGTTAACTATCAACACATCAAAAATCAAAATATTTACTTTTTTTTAAAAGACTATATATATATATATATATATATATATATATATATATATATATATATATATATATATATATATATTAATTTTTAAATCTTCTCTATTCTCGTGCAAGTTAAGTCTAGACAAGTCGTTTTTCCTATTTTGAATTTTTTATCTTTTATACGAATCTAAATAATAATTGTTTCTCATATATTTTTATTTTACTATTATCATTTTCAGTTATTTACACTCTTCTATATTTCTCGTGTATGATTTTAATTACTACATTTAAAATAATCTTTATTATAGTTTTTTTTAAATAATTGTAATTAATAATAAACTTATGTTTTTACACATTATTATATTATTAAAATATATAAAATTTATTTCATTAAATATGTTTCAATTGAATCTTTAAAATATGTACTATACCTTATCCGATTTAGTTAAAGAGTGTAAGAAATTAAGGCGTGAATGAGAGTGGAAGAAAGCAAACATTAGCTATTATTTATACAAAATTTTCAAAAATGAATTTTGAATGTTCAATTTGAGATTCAATTCAATCTATCAACTAAAATTATATAATAATAATAATAATATAATTATTATATTAATTAATATTTTAAAATATTAAATAATGTAATTATTTTGTAAACATTATAAAAAAATGTTTTGAAATTATAATATTTAATAAAAAAATAATTTCAAAGACATATTACTTAATTAGTGTAAAATTAATCTAATCAATTACTGGATTAACTTAAAAAAAGAAAGAAAAAAAGATGTAAAGACATACCCGATACAACATAATAATTTTGTAGATTTTAGAATCTAAAGTTGGATTGAGTGATAACTTTGGTCAATTATGATTTAATCCTGATACGTCTATAATTACTCCCTGCACCTTATTATTACTACCTGCACCCTCTTAATTTCTCAAAAGACTTTTCTGCCCATTATGTTATATTTCAATAGTTGCACTCTTTCTCCTTCCCTTCGTTGTCCTTTTTTGCAAGTGCGTCGGTTGTTCCGGCGGCTGTGCATGGTAGTTGGCCTCCAAAAAGTGTAAGGTATTTTTTCGTAGCTTTAATATTATTATTTTTTTTAGCTTTAATCTCGTTGAAGGCTGCTTTAATGGTGGTCGCAGCATTTTTCAGATTATCCAATCCGGTAGCAAAGTATCTTAAAACGCGTAATTCGAAATGGCCTTAAGACGAAAATAGAAACAATCCAGATAGGTAGTTCTGGAACACAGCTAACGAAGTCTCATAATCCAAAATTGTCTTATATATAAATTTTTCGAAAAGATAAATCCGGATAATAAATTTGTATATCGATCTAAAATATCCTGTTTGAAACGCAGAAGACTGATTTGAGATCATGCAATAAAAATGTCCAATAACTCGAAATCAAATAATGGTCCTCTTTTAATTAATGGGTAAATGAGTAAGTAAAAGAAAAAGTGAGAAACACACACTACATTTTTATTGTCTAATTCACGTGTATTAAAATCTATTATTATAATTATAAAATTAGGAAATAAATAAATTATAATATAAATTTTGTGAAAAAAATAAAATTAATGAAGTTCAATCAACAAGATAGAGTATTAAAAAAAAGTGTGTGAGAATGTATTATTAGCAATTTCTGAGCTCATATAATTGAAAATATGGGCCTCGTCTCGGAGCCCAAGAGCGAATGACTAGACAAGACAACTGAACCTAAAACAAAAACTAGGTTTTAATTTCACAATTTCTGGTGGTTAGCAGTGACAGCGAGTGGAATAGTAGAGAAGCGAAAGAGAAGAGAAGAAGAAAGGATTAGGGGTCGTGAATGGCGCATCAAGGGGAACCAACGAAGTTGAGGTGGGGCGAGCTGGAGGAGGACGACGGCGAGGATTTGGACTTCCTACTGCCGCCGCGGCAGGTCATAGGGCCCGACGAAAACGGCATAAAGAAGGTGATCGAGTACAAGTTCGACGAGGACGGCAACAAGGTCAAGATTACCACCACCACGCGCACCCGCAAACTCGCCAATGCGCGCCTCAGCAAACGCGCCGTCGAACGACGCTCCTGGCCCAAGTTCGGTGACGCCGTCCGCGAAGATGTAGGCAGCCGCCTCACCATGGTGTCCACCGAAGAGATCCTCCTCGAACGCCCCAAGCCACTCGGTAACGTCTTTATGCGGAATAAACTTTTTCTCCATTAGAATGAGTGGTTACTATCTGTTCATGATTTGGGGGAACCTTCGGAGTTTAATTTAGAAACACGTGATATAGGTCTATTTGTTGCGTCTTTCAAGTTGGTTTTCTGATGGTTACAGTTGTACAAATATGCTTTAATTTACTTCGGAGAAGGGTGTGTTTGATTTCTATTTTCAAGAACTGGTTCTAGTTTTCAAATGTAACTAAACAAGATAGTTCAGAGCGGAATGTCGAATTGAGGGAGAAGCTGAACACATGCTGAAAACAGAACATGAAGAGAAAAACAAAAATTCTCAATCGATTATATTTTCTGGACGAGAAATTGATTTTTGAGAACTGTCAAATTGTTTTAGAAAAAAAAAAAAAAAAGAGTGAGATGGGAATTGGAATGGATCTATATTACTACATTTTTTAAATTAACTCTGGTTCAAGATAATATAGGTGTCTAGGTATCTTTTAAGTAATTGTAGTATTGTTTTAGTGGAGTATAATAAGATTGGTGTATTATCATTATGTAATAATTAACTCTCTATGTTTCTGTGATTGTTACAGGTGCCAAAACGGAGGAGCCAAAGACATCTGGAGATCCATTGGCTCAATTTCAGAAAGGTGCTGTTCTTATGGTCTGTAGAACTTGTGGGAAGAAAGGTGATCACTGGACTTCAAGGTGTCCATACAAGGATCTTGCCCCGCCATCCGAGGGATTTGTTGATAAGCCTGCAGCATCGGATGCTGCTGCGGCAACAGCTGGTGCAACCAAGGGAGCCTATGTGCCTCCAGGTATGAGGGCGGGTGCTGAGAGAAGTAGTGGATCAGATATGCGTCGGAGGAATGATGAGAACTCTGTGAGGGTAACCAACCTCTCTGAAGACACAAGAGAGCCCGATTTGCTGGAACTGTTCCGTCCTTTTGGTCCAGTAAGCAGAGTCTATGTTGCCATCGATCAGAAGACTGGAATGAGCAGGGGCTTTGGCTTTGTTAACTTTGTCAACAGGGAAGATGCGCAAAGAGCTATCAGCAAACTGAATGGTTATGGTTATGACAATCTCATACTTAGAGTTGAATGGGCAACCCCGAGGGCAAACTAATTGTCTTGTGCTTTTGCCCCTTTCTTGGAAGTGGTATTTTGAAGGTCTGTCTAATTTTGTAGTCTGAGTGCTGTGCTATCTGTTTCCTTTGAGATGATTTATTATTTAAAAGTATACATTCATTCAATATCTCATGTTGGTTCTCTATAATCAGCTATCATCCTACCCTTCTACGCACGTTTTGTCTTCTTTGTTTCTTTTAATGTTAGTATTACACTACCTTTTTTTTTTTTACACTGTCATAGCAAGACATGAAAGTATTCTACCACTTGGCTCCGGTTAAGGATCCATAGGAACATATCATGCAACACAGGTGTTTGGCAAGAAAATCAAATAAGTTGTGAAGGCTGATTTGGGTACCTGTAATTGGGACATTGTTAAAAAGTGGTTGTGGAATCAATCAAAGATTTGTCAAAGGTTAGGGTGTGGAATCAATCAGGAGATTTAAATGATTTTGCCTAGAAATAGTTGCACCTTCATGCTTGTGTATTTGATTGGGAGTTGGGATTGACTTTATTATGATTAGGTTTGGATATCATTATGCAGGTTTTTTGTATGAATTAGTGTGCAGGTTTTTTATGAGTATGTAGCAAAACACAGAATTAATTATGTATGTGTAGAGATTATACTCAAATATTGATTATGCAGATGTACTGGTATGGAAAAATCTGGTTGTTGGATAAATGTTGGCAAATGGTTATTTTTTGTTTGATTGTTGGAGTGTAATGCCTTTTTATGTAAACTTGTTGGGTAACCCTTTTAAAAGGTAATGTTTATTTACTAAAATAAGAATATTTTAGCAAACCACCCTTTTGATAACTTAATGTGCATTTTCTTCAACGGGTTGCTAAGTGTAAGGAATGCACTTTAAAAAGGTGATCCTAATGTTTCCAGTACTTTTTTTTTGTTACTTTTAGGGCGTCACCATGTACACCTTTGAGAAAAATTGAGGATAATGGTGGTAATGTTTGATCTAGTTTTAGTCTTCTCTTTAGCCTTCCATTTGTTTTGGTGGAAATAAAGTGAAAAATGGAAAAAGAGGTAGGTTACAGATGTCAATTTTTCATTATTTGTATGAACGAGCGAAGATTCTTATTGGGACCGTAAGGAAATTATTTTGTATTCATGAAATTTGGAAGATGGTTTCTCTCAATTCTTTAAAATATTTCCTATAAAATGAAATTGATTTTGTTTTAAATCGACGAAATATAGATATGTTACTTACAATATTTATGTCTTTATTTCCTCAATACTATGAAAATATTTTTTTTCTTCTTTTTTTCTTCTCTATCTCAATAATGCCTTTCATTTCTCTTTTATATAATATTTTTCTATTCTAATTTAAACAAAATATAAATGTTGGATTAAATGTTTTTTCCATGTTATGCAAATATTTTATTTGGTTTAAATGGGTTTTTATTTTTCAATTCTTGGGATTCATCATCTTCTTTTTTTTTTTTTTAAACTTTTCAATTATAACTATCTTCGTAATAGAGTTTGAGTTCGTCGAATTTATAGTAATTGTTATTTATCAATTGAAATATTGTAAAATAATAATAAAATATTTCAATAAAAAATACTTACGAGGATATAATTTAACACGGATCCTATATAAGGAAATTTCTTTAAGGAGTCTAGTATTTAGGTACTGGATGGGAGTGAGTGCAACTTTATTTGTAATCCCTGTTATAATCCTATTTATATCAGAGTGCTTTCCAAGACAGTCCGAAGCCTAAAAAATTGTCGTTTTGGCTTTGACTAGTTGCATGTAAAGAGAATCTAATGGGGACAGTAAGGTGTTCATTGAGGGAGTAAAACATGGAGGGGCAAGGACAGTTAGCTCATGAATCAGAAAGTGAAAAGAAATTGTCGAAACAGATAATTTTCCGCATTCAATCATAGCTTAATAATAGAGGACAGAGGATAGTAAATAATTTCTGAAGAGGATTCATGCAATTATGTATCCTACATCACTTTCAGAAAAAGAAAAAAACAATGGCAAAGATCTATAGTAGTTTTGGAAAGAGAATATTTGGCAGCAGACACCACTTGTCCCTTAATCCTAGTGGGCATACAGAATTGCCGTTTTCATATGAATAAGTATGGCATCCATTGCCATTTCGGCCTGTGGGATGGTTAACGATTCATTAGTTCCACCATTTCAATCTGTGGCCCAGCTAGTCTGGACGGTAAGTTGGGTCTGTTTCCACTATTCAATGATCCAGCCCAAATATTTGAATAACAAAGAATAAAAAATAAGAATTAATTTAGATTATCTAAAAGGTAATAAGCCGCATGAAAGTTGTGAGGTTCACAACTAACAGATAAAAATGATGGTTATGTTATTCTTCAGCGCCACTTTCAAGGAATAAAACTTTTGTATAGTCTTCGATTAATTGCAGTGTGATGATGAGAAAAAAATTCTAATGAGCTGGTGCGTTTTAATCTTTAAATATTCAAGAGATCCAATGGTCTGTCTATATATTCAGATGTCTCGTATAAATCCATGTCCCTCCCACATAAAATCTCGCACATGCCTCTCATATGCACAATAGTGAGGTGTTCTCACATAGATAAATATATAATTTATCACTAATGCTTCTTTTCATGGACGCAAAGTAAAAACACGCAGAACTTAAATTTATTTGTGTCTGTACATGTGACACAAATGTTTGATGGCTTCTAAAACTTTCAAGAGATGTGTTATTCATTCAACAACTCGTACAAATTGTAGCCAATTTGCCGCATGTTTTTAGAGTACAGTATTCATTGTAAGTTTAACCAAACATTAAAGAAAGATACGTGTGAGAGGAGGAAAAGTCTCACGTATAATAACGTAAAATATAATATGTTTAAGGATTTATTTTTTATGTTATAAAAAGAACTCAATATTTTCTTAGTCATTTCAAAAAGTTTCTGCGTTTACCAAACTTATGATCAACTCATCATCAACATAACAAATAATAATATTGATGAAATAATTCTCTTCAAACTTATTGTAATAAGTGCAATTTTCGAACTTAATATGTTATAACCAAGACTAATGATAAAGGAATCAAATCTCTTATATCAACACCTTGATGTCTGCTTTAAACCATATAGGGATTTGTTCAACCTGTAAACCAAGTTTTCTTGTTCTTCAAAGCCTTTTGGTTGGAGCATATATATTTCTTCTTTAAGTTCTCCATGAAGAAAAACAATCTTTACATTTAATTGCTCAAAATGTAAATCAAATACAGCACACATGAGAAAGACAATTCTGATTGTTGACAATCTAACAACTGGTAAGAATATCTCGTTGAAATCAATGTCTTGTTTATGAGCATATCATTTTACCACCAATCTAGCACGATATTTTTCCACTTAATCATTGTCATCTCTTTTGATCTTGGAGATCCATTTGTACTCACTCATCGTTGTGGTGAGAATAAGGTGTTCAAGTAGTTGATGTGGTCCGTTATCGATGTGAACTCACTCATCTGAGGAGTGTAAAGTTTCTGCTTCAAGAATATCCTTGTGTAAAGGGACTTCACTTCATATAATTTGATGAAGGCATCACAAATCTCCTTTGCTGTATTTTTCTCCGCAACACTGGATAGTACAAAATCTGTCATTGCTAGGTGCAAATTTGCGATAGCGTTGCCATCAAATTTCTTCTACTTCTGATCTGTCGTTTCTGCGGGTCTTCCTTCAATTGCATCTAAGCAATTATCCTTTCTCAAAATTGTCTTTATGTTCAATTTCCATAATGAGAAATTGTTTCCGTTGAACTTCTCTATCTCGTACTTTACTGTCATGATTGTATACCAACTTATGCAACTCTCCCTTGTGAATAGTATTATCTACTGGAACAATAGCAGTAGACCGTGAACTAGTACACCAGGTAAGTTCCCAGAAAAGATAGGTAGGTACTAATGGACACGCTTAAGTACCAAGTATTTCCTACCCAGAACATTCCTAGACATGCACTTTCACACTACCACACCTTTTCCAGTAACAACTTTTTTCTGATGTGAAAGATCAGATTAAACTGCAACCACAAAACATACTCAGAATTCTACTAACACTATTTTAGTGACTAGTGCAACAAAATAAGAATGTGGCTCTAGTACCACTGTTGGGCATCAGACTAATTACACAAGAACTCAACTAAAGTAGAGACGAAAAAAATTGAATAGCAACAATAGACAAAAATGAAAATTTTATAATAGTAAAAAAAATTGCATACCTCTTCTCTAGTCCTAAGAAAAAAAATAATGACAACCCTTTCTTAAAAATACAAATAATACTAGAAAAAGAAAAAAAGAAAAACTTTTTGGGATAACTTTTAAGGAATCATTAGGTTCTTTTATAACATAAAAAATAAGTCCCCAGACATGTTTTATTCTATGTGGAGGGGGAAAAGTCCCACATAGAATAGAACATGTTTAAGGATTTGTTTTTTATAACAATATGTTATTCATTGTATGATGACTGTTTTTTTGTTATTCCCTCTCCACCGTATCTTTTATTCAATCTCATACTTCTCTCCTCTTTCCTTTCTCTCTCTTAATTATAAAAATATATAAATTATTAATACAAATAACATTTATCTTAAAGAAAAGATTGAAGCAGTTCATCGATATGTAGAAATAATAATCAATAATTAGGAACAACTGGAAACCCTGTGGAGATAAAAATACCATAAAATAGATAGAGGAAAGAATCGCACCGTATATCTAAAGTTCAGTACACTAAATGGTTAAGTTACACAGTAAGAAGTCCATAGTTTTCCTTTAACCATCTCTGGAATTAAATTAACAAAGCAGTGTTGCCTACAACAATTAGATCTGTCACACCAAACAATCAGTACGTAGGAGATACGCCTACTGACCAGTGCAACAGCCTTATAAAACACTCTGTGCATCATATAAAAGAAAATTATTTAAATAATGTAAATTTGAAACAATTATTGATAACAACTTGCCAGAAATAATTCTTGAATTCTTGTGTCATTGATACTTTCACAGAAGATCAAAAGAACTGAACTTACATGGCAACATGAGAAGCACAAGAAGTATTTTACTGTGCTGTTAACTTGTGGGATCAGAATATCTGCATATTCAAAAGAACACCAAGATCCAAGAGCAAATCAATTTACATACATGCACTAATTCAATTGACCTGCCGCATATCACACACCTATAAAACTTCAAATATAGAAGTTTCAGTATGATCATTTATCAGCACTAAATTATACTAAAAATCAAATATCTAAGCTGACACGATCAACAAAAAAAAAAAATGCTAGCAAACCCATGCATAATTGCAATAAGCACTAGCAATCTAGCAGCAGCAAGGCAACAAATATTTAGACATAACAAGTGAACTTTTCTTCAACTGCGTATATTAAATTGGTCATTATGTTGTAATTTTAAATATTTCAATCAAGTGAGCATGCAACAAATTGCATCAAGTGGCTCAAAACTACATATTCCAACTTCGGAAAACACATGAAGAAGAAGTCAAAATAAATGAGTGCAACACAATCACCCCACCCCAGCCTCCAGTCCTCGCAATTTAATTACAACTAGGTCCTTTCACTTACACAACGAAGCCCGTTTTCCACTTCAAATGAGAAGAACAATAATATCGCCAAGAGCAGATGGTATGGTAATTTTTGTCTTGAAAAACATACTAAATATAAATTTACAGTGTCATGTTTGAGGTAATTAACAAACAGCATAACTGCCAACAAAGATACAACCAGCGATAGATGATATCAAAAGCAATGTAGCATGACAGATAACATATAAAGGATACCAACAAACATCCTACGCCACTCTGCTACTTCGTAGTATTCAAGGCTGCTATTCACTAGAGATCTAAGAATATGACATATTTACGTGCTAACAAAGAACTTTGAAGTGTTCTATTGAAAATTTACGGGCTATACATCAACATGCATGTTTGTTGAAGCTTTATCGTTGGAGATAAATAAACAAAGAACAGAAGTAGCATCATCCTTAGATGTTCCTTGGGAAATGTGTGTTGAAAATTGATGGAACATAAATTATAATTATAAAACCACCAGATTTAATTTGCTGACACAAATAGGTCAAAATTCCATCGCAATGAAATCATATATTAGCTCCAAAAGTTTATTTGTAAGCTAAGTGTTTCCTTCTTTCTTTTTTGTTTCGTCATAAAAAAGGACAACAAAATCTACTTAAAATTCACCATCTTCTCTCCCTCAAAATTAAAAATCTATAATCTAGACCAAGGGAGCAGAAGACACTAAAACAGAACGACAACTAAATCTAAGTGCATAAATGGGAAGAGTCATTTAGTAGTGCAATGTACAAATGCATTGATGTTTTGGTCTTGATAGAACTAAAGAAGGATCGACCAAACCATGTAGCCAAGTAACCCACACAACACAACCTAATGGGATAAGATATGGCTGTTGTCGTTGATGTTTTCTTCTACATCTTCACTGTGATTTTTTCTACCAAACTTTTCTTTACAAGTCCTTTGGAGTACAATTCATTCCACAATTTTGAAGCCTCCTCTGGGAATTCTTCACAAGCAATGCCTTTTACAAGAATATTATAGGTAACCTCAGCCGGTTTACATCCATTTGCTACCATATAAGCAAGAAGTCAATGGCACGAGCTGTTTGCTCAGTTTTACATAAACTCATCATTATTGAGTTATAAATGAATGCATTGGGTCTAATACCTAACCCTTCCAGGTAATTGAAAATTTGTATTGCTTCATGAACCTTTCCTTTACGAATGAGCCCCCCTACTACTGATGTGAAAGTAATTAGATTAGTCTTCAGGCCCTTACCACACACCTCCAATAGTTCTAGAGCAAGTTCACTTTTTCCCACCTTTAAAAGCCCATCAATGGTTGTACTGTAAGTAATTATATCAAGTTCAAGACTTTTTCAGCTCATCTCTCCAAAGAGTTTCACAGAACGCTCTGTTTTCCCACTGTCAAAAGCCCATCAATCACTATATTTTAAGTAATTAAAACAGGAGGACACCCCTTGAAAATGCTATAGGTCACTACATCTGGGTAACAACCCCAGGATATCATTATTTCCAAGTACTCAATTGCTCTGACAACACTCTTCTTGTTACAAAACCCTTCAATCAATGGATTGTAACTTCTGGAATTAGGTGTACAACTATGTTTTGGCATCATATCCAAGACATTAAGGGCTTTAACTAGTGCGCCTTTATGGCAAAAGAAATTGATCAAGATATTGAAAGTAACAACAGTTGGAGAACACCCCTTACGAAGCGTGCTAGCTATTAGTTTCATAGAATCCATCCATCTTCCACCACTACACAAGCTTCGCGAGATGATAGTTGGGAAATCACATCAGGATGACAACCATATGAAGGGAATTTGTTTAAAAATCTAATTGCTTCATCCAACCTACCTTCATTGCATATCCATTTTACAACAACATTATATGTAACTACATTAGGTTTGCATCCTTTGCTCATCATCTCAATTAAAAGTTTCATTGCCTGACCAACGCCATTTTCTTTACAAGTAGCAGCACCAATCAATTCAATAAATGACAACATCTGGATAACACTTGCTTCGCTGCTCTTTGTCAGGTACTTCCATGGCTTGCTTCAATTTCCCTATCATAGAAGCTATGAAAAATTGTATCATAAGTATCAGCATTTGGAGCAACACTCATGCGATCCAAAACCAACCAGGCTTCTTTTATATCCCCTGATTTGCAATAACCACCAATCAAAGCATTTACATTGTTCATCAATAACGGCTCCAGACGAATCCAGAATTTCCATGATTTGAGCTGCGTTCTTAGTCCTGCCAATCATACAAAACTCACGAATTAAAGCAGTGCAAGTAAGTGACATCAGGTTTAATGCCTTTGTTATTCATATGCTCAAGAAACTTAGAAAACCTTCCTCCAATTCTCCATTTTTAATCAAGACCCGGACAGGATAATTCTCAGAATCCTCAAAACTCGGGGAAGTATTGAACCCATTTGGCGAGGATTCCATCCCATTTAAAGCACCTTTTGGGAATCTTTCAAAATATTGCATATTACCTTTAAAACCAGAATTTTCATTTTTGGAAACGGCAAATAAACAATTTCCCAAATGCTTTCTGTGCCATTAGGTTTACTAAAATCAATATCCCTGATATCATCAAGCAGAATATATAATTGAGATTTGCAGGCCATATTACATACTCTCACCGAATTGAATGCAGAAAGAATGCTACGGCTTTCTCGGTGGAAGTGTTTATACGAGTAAAACTGTATACGGTGTACCACCAATTCCAACACTTGCTACCCAAACTCCTATGCCACCAAATCCATTTTCACCAACTATCATAACCTGAAAAGGCCGAAATCACATATTTCTTAAGTGCAAAGTTAATATACTCAAGGCTAAGTATGCTATAAAAAAATAAAAAAATGAGGCAAGTCAAAAATGAAAACTAGTTAAAATCTGAACCCAATCACCCTCGTGTCAAAGAAATCCCTAATCCTTCTCTAATCACTCAAAAATGGGAATATGAGAACGAGAGGCAGAGAGAGAGGCTCAGGGAAAAATAAGTACTAATGATTCTGTGAAGAAAATATCGAACTCATTGTTCCAATAAATAGAGAAACCTAGCCAGACAAATGAATGTGACGTGGAAACGAGTAACTATACCAATGGCACCTGAAGGGTGTGTGTTGTTTTATGACGGAGTTTATAACAAGTGCGTTCATCAGAGTTTTAGAGGTAGTGCCGGGAGAGGTGTCTGACCGCCTGCGAAAAGAATACGAAGATAAAATATTTTATTAACAATAAAAATAAATAATAAATGTAATATAAAAATAAAAAATACCAAAGAAATATATTGAGAGAGGCTAATCTCTTAAATACCTTGATTAAAAATAATAAACTGAAAAAAATTAAAACATGTTTATTCTTTTACTTGTGTTTGCCTTTTGGAATAACAACCATCAATATAGAAAGACAATTGAATGAATAAACTAATGAAAAGATACTTTAATCTTAGTATAGACAAAGGATAAAAGTGAAATTGTATTAATATATTAAGGATAAGCATGATAAAAAAAATTGTAATCATATAAAGTACTTTATTAAATATATTTTTAATTTGCTTAAAAAAATTTATAAGTATGTTAAATAAGTTCAAATAATTCTAAATCTACTTCTAATTAGATTACAATTAACTGTTTAGGTTTCATATTTAAATACAAATCTCATTTTATTTTGTTTTCAACCTGAAGAAAATTTGAGGTTTTTAAAAATTATTTTTTTAATCAAATATAATATTAATTATATTTTTATATTACAAGTGTGAAGCAAATGACCGTTTTACAAATATTTGTAAAAGAGAGAAAATTAAGAAAAAAAATTAATCTGTTAGCCAAAATTAAGTTGTGCATCGAAAAAATTATATTACCTACTCTAAAGTCTTATTTTAACTCAGATAAACTAAAGATAAAATTATTTTTTCTATTAAAAGTATTTATAGAGAAATACCTGTATAATTGTTAATGTTTGATACTTATTTGATTGTGCATTACAAAATGTAATTTAAAATTATCTTCTTCTTTTTTAAACGGCCCCTTCTAACTCTCCAACATGTATGATTGTATCATGATTCTTTTATCTCTTATATTTCTTTTTCTTGAAAGAGAGAGGTTCTAACATATGTGCAAAAATAGATAATTATTGAAAAATATTAAATTTACATTTTGATTATTAATTTTAATATAACAATATATTGATTTATCACATAAAAATAAGAAAAATAAAGAATAGAAAAAAACAATCCAAAAATAACAATAGTATTAATCTATGTAATATTTAAAACAACTATATAGTAACAATCCAAAATATGTACTCAATTGTGCTATTTTTATCACTCTTATTATCACATCAATCAACATCAGAATACTCCATCAACACATCATCCCCTTTTGATAGCAAAATTCTCAGATTTTCAATTCCGTATAGGTATCTAAGTATGCGCTTCACAACAAAAAGGTGTGATACTTTTGGTTCTTACATGTATTTACTCATTAACCCAACACGGAAATTTAAATTTGGTCTAGTGTTACTATATAAATAGCTCAAGCTTCCAACAATGTTTTAGTATTGTATAGGATCAACCTCCTATTAATTATGATTTTTCTCAAGCTTCAATCCTACTTCTATAGGTGTGTTGCCAATATTATCTTGCGGCATTCTAAATTTCTTCAATATATCACGAACATACTTTGTCTTTGTCTGATGCATAGTCATCTGTATGGAGTTCGCTTGAACTAAATTCCCAAGAAATAACTCAGATTTCTCAAGTCACTTATCTCAAACTCCCTTAGAAGTTCATTCTTACAACAAGTTATCAACTCTTCATTATTGTCGTGATCGAAAGATCATCAACATACAAGCATATGATAACTTTTTCAACTCTATTGTTGTTCTCTCAAACTTTTACATAAACTCCATGTTAGGACATACACTTAACAAAGTCAATTTTGTCAAGAAAATTATCAATCTACTTGTTTCATACTCTCGGTGCTTACTTAAGCCCATATAAGACCTTTTTCAACATATACACTTTATGTTCTTCACTCTTATGCTCAGACCCCTTATGTTGTTGTACATAAACCTCTTCTTCAAGAGGGTCATTTAGAAAAACTTATTTAACATCTAATTGGTGTAAGGACCAATTAGTATTTGTGGCAATAGCAACCACCAATCTTATGTTTTCGATCCTAGCAACCGGCACATAGACTTCACCATAGTCTACTCCAGCTTTCTGCAAAAAGCTTTTGGTTACAAGCCTTGTTTTCTATCTTATAACCTCACCCTTTATATTTACTTTAATCTTATAAACCCACTTGAGTGTGATTGACTTCTTGTCTGGTGCAACTTAACAAGCTCTCAGGTCTGATTCCTTTTAATTGAATTAATCTCTGTAACAACCATAAGGCTAAGAGGGGAACCATCCCTCAAAAGCTAGCTCAAGAGGTTGGAGAACCTCCTACCTTATAAGGCCTCCCTGGTAAGGATACCTCCCCAATGTGAGACTTGTTACAATACCACCCCGTTCGAAAGCCAGCGTCCTCGATGGCTGCACTCCACGACACTTCACTCACCGGCACTTCAATCATTGGCACTTTACTCGGTCAGAACCCTCTGTGGGTAGCCCTTCTCGAGTTGGCTGGCTCTCAATGAAAGCACCAATGTAACAACCATAAGGCTAAGAGGGGAACCATCCCTCAAAAGCTAGCTCAAGAGGTTGGAGAACCTCTTACCTTATAAGGTCTCCCTGGTAAGGAGACCTCCCCAATGTGGGACTTGTTACAATCTCCTCCTACATAGCTTTCCACCAATGAACCTCTCTGGCAACATCTTCAAACATGATTGGTTCAAACTCTACAATGAGTGCAAAATGCACTAGATTTCCCTCTGTCAACACAGCTTAGTCACTAAACACCTCATAATCACGAAGATAAGATAAGAGTTGTGTAATTCTTGATGATCTTCTCGCACGATGATCAATATGTTTGTTCTGTTCCACTGGATGCTCATCTTCAAATAACATTTTGGAAACATTTGAATTCTCTTTGGTGATTATCCATATCCAATTAGTTAACTCATCAACAAATACATCTCTACTAATTGACAACTGTTGTTTTGAGATCCACCTGTCACATGATAACCAACCTAAATTTGTGGTGTGCTTTTATCATCAAGTTTCTTTTTCAGCTCCTCAGGTAGATGCTTATAACACACTGACCCGAATATCCTAAGGTGTAACACATCAGGCTTGACACTGTTGGTCTTTTGGCAAACGTACCAATATTATCAATCGCAGTATAGTATTTCAATTAAATAAAAGTCGATCCCACGAGGGACAGTTTAACTAGAAATTCCAAGTCATATGTTTATTAAGTATATTGACACAAAATTGGTTTTTCATAAATATGTGGGTTGAAAATAAATGGCAAAGAACTATTAAGTATTTTTTAAAAAGATAAACTATGAGAACTTAGGATTGGATTAATTTCTTTTCCCTCCTTTGTATAATGGCTAGATCAAATTAATAACATCAATTAACCTATCAATGTTGATGCAACCTACTTAAATCATTCACATTGATTCCTCAAACATGAAATTCATAAGAAAACCTTGTAAACATAGATTCCTGATATATTTAATAGATTTTCCAGCATTAGGTTTAGGGTGTTAAGCACTTAATACATCCATTATCATTCCTAGCAATCAATGTAGCAAATATTCTTAACCTAATCAAGGATTTTAAGATATATTTTCCAATATATATGAACATCAAGGATAAAAACATTAAAAGACACAAAGAATAAGAATAACAATATCAAGAACATAGATTAATATCTCAAAATATCACCAAGATACAAAAGAGTTCAAAGGAAGTGCATCCAATCCTAAGAGAATGAAGTTAGTCACTCATGATGGTCATTACAATGATCCAAATGAAAAAGAATTAAAGAAGAATTGAAGATTGGACGAAAATCGAAGCAGTTGTCACGCCTCTCTTCTCAAAACCTAAAATTATTTCTCAAAACGCATCTTATCTTTTTATAAGAAAATTTGGGTCGCGGAACATTCGCTCAAGCAAAAAATGATGATTTTTGCTCAAGTGAAAAATGATGATTTTCGCTCAAGCGAGAAATATTCGCTTGAGCAGTTGAATTCCCGAGAGTTTTAATGTATTTTCGCTCAAGCGAATAAATGTTCGCTTGAGCGAGTGACTTCCAAAGAGTTTTAACGTATTTTTGCTCAAGCAAGCATCTGTCTCGCTTGGGCGAATCTCTGAAAATCTTTTTCCTTCTTTCAATTTTTCTTCAATTATCTTGAGAATTATGATCCTTGCTGTTGTACCAAAGTATTCTGCAAATTTATCCTACATTGGGAGAAAAAATATATTAGAATTAACATAATTTAAGTGGTTAAATAACAATTAAAAAAATAATTTCATCAACTTTTACCAATTAACAAATACCTGTCAAAGCCTCTTTAGGTGTCATCATCTCCAAATGCTTGGTGGGAGAGTTGTACAACACATGTGCAGCTGTGACATTTGCTTCTCCCTAAAAATAACTTGGCAAAGACTTGATTTTCATCATGCAATGGATCATATTCAACAAAGTTCGGTTTCTATCATCAACAATACCATTATGTTGAAGAGTGTACAGTAGAGTAAACTAATGGATGATGTCTTCTTTCTAATAAAAGATACCAAATTCGGCAGAAGCATATTCACCTTTATCAGATCACAACACCTTTATCTTGTTTTCACTTTACTTTTCAAACCATTCTTTTAA